TGTGTGTCCCATATGGTGCAGTGGTATGTGCAGCGATTTCCAATCGAGAGGTTGCGGGCTTGATTCCCGACGATTATGGTCACACACGTCTTTCTTCTCCTTCTCAGACTCCTCCTGACTTTTCTTTCAATCTCCTGAGTGGTTACCAACAGCCAGTGCAGGGATGAATTTACTGTCATTTTTTTGCATAGCAGTTTTCGCGACGCAAACGCCAAAATGCGTAGCAGTCCTTGATTTTTGATTAGCACTTTTTCTTCCACGAAGACCGACTAAAATTTCTCAGTCCACGGAGGGAGTACTCGTGCTGTCTGCATAGCTGGCAGAAAATTAGCGTCACCGCTGCACCTGTAGCTTTCTCAGAACCAAGCCATTTCTTCTGGACATCGACCTCTGCCACCCACTTCTCAAAGGTACTCTGTCGTACAGACATGTTGGAGGCAGAACCAGACTAGACAAAAACTACAGCTTGGACAATTGTCAGAGAGAAGGACGAACGTGATTCCAAAAGTTCCTCACGACCAGAAAGACCGACTGGCTGCAAGCAGAAAGCTATATAATAATATATATAATATTCGCGGGATCCGCGTTAGCATCACTTGAATGTTCAGAAACACACAAGCTATAGCCTTCGCTTCCGCAGGCCACCACTATGCCTTTACACCTTAGTGGCGAATGCAGACCTCACAAGTGAGTCAGGGGAGAGGAGGTGAGTCTCTCAACCAATCGGGCGTGTAACGGCCCATAACCCTGTAAACTGCATCCTTGTGCTATAATATCACGAAAAGAGGTAAGTGAACCAGAAAGAAGAAAACAAACAACAAGACCTCCGCCGGGATCGTGGAGGAAAGATGATGCTTGTCAGTACGGAAAGTACATGTACATGAACTTACTGAATGAAAGCCGCGCAAAGTGGTACGTGTAGTTCAAGTAGGACACCAGTACATGCAGTCGGTATGTGCACGCGGAGCCAGCCACAGTTCACAGGTACATGTACTAGAAATCACACCTTCCCGAGAAAAAAGCCGGGTCCGTGCACTGTACAGGTGTAGTGAGTGTACGACATAGTCACAGCATCACTTTTACTGACTGCGCGAGCTAGTATGCAGTGCCGTTTATGCATCGCAGTTTCCTGCGTGTCCCTGTGATTTTTGAGTCGCACTCGATCGATTTTGAATCGCAAACTGCGATGCGATACTGGATAAATTCATCCCTGCAGTGCATGCTGGAGTATGTGGTATGATGTGTGCGCGGGGAAAAAATGAAAAAAGACCGAAAAGTAGAGATTCACTTGCCAGAAAAGCCACTTCGTAACTGTGTGGTGTAGGCCAGGCTGAATAGTGGCGGTCAATTCTTCAGCCTTGCAATCTGTTGAATGGTGCAATCCCAGCACAAGTTGCAATGGCTTCTGCTATAGCATCGTCATCCTCGGCTCTGGTGATGGGCGTCAGAGGTGTGTGTGTGTGTGTGTGTGTGTGTGTGTGCATGCATGCGTGCGTGTGTGTGTGTGTGTGTGTGTGTGTGTGTGTGTGTGTGTGTGTCCCATATGGTGCAGTGGTATGTGCAGTCGATTTCCAATCGAGAGGTTGCGGGTTCAGTTCCCGACGATTATGGTCGCACACGTCTTTCTTCTCTTTCTCGGACTCTTCCTGACTTTTCTTTCATTCTCCTGGGTGGTTACCAACAGCCAGTGTATGCCGGAGTATGTGGTGTGGTGTGTGTGTAGAAAAAAATGGAAAAATGGAAAATAGGGATTCACTGGCCAGAAAAAGTCACTTCAAACAGCTGTGTGGTGGATACCAGGCTAAAAATAGTGGCGGTCAATTCATCAGCCTTGCAAGCTGTTGAATGGTGTAATCCCAGCACAAGTTGCTATGTTTAACATAGCTGTTCGCTATCATCGCTTCTGCGATGGGCATGTCTGAGGTCTGAGGTGTGTGTGTGTGTGTGTGTGTCTGTGTGTGTGTGTGTGTCTGTGTGTGTGTCTGTGTGTGTGTGTGTGTGTGTCTGTGTGTGTGTGTGTGTGCGTGTGTGTATTGTCATAGGGTCTCTTCCTGGTAATATGGACGTACAGCGCTCCATCTCCAGCCTGTGCAATCGTTTGCCACTGATGAATTCCGAGCAGCTGATTGAGAGTAGCAACGAGGTAAGAACTAAGAAGGCAGATGCACGGCACACTCTGTCAGCAGAGGTCCCGGTGCAATACTATGTGTTCTTCAGCACTATCATCGACCTACTTCAGCATGTGAATGCGTCTCGTGCACTCAGTTGCCCCCCCCCCCCCCCCCCCCCCTCTCTCTCTCTCTCCCTGGATCTGATGGTCAGAGGACCACTGGTACTCAGCAATCACTAAGTGCAGTTGTTGATGAACTACCATGGTACAAATGCTTAGACCTGACTACACTGTAGTTAGCCATTGTGTTGAACAGCTCTGGTTTAAAACCGAGTCTGTGCTTGTTTGATCTTGGTTTTTAAGAGTGTCAAGCAAGAGACACAACATGTTGGTGACCACGCCAGCATGGGTGGTCCGATTGCGGGTCGATGAACTACCGTAAAAGCCCCTGTATACGCCCACTCGAAATAACGCCCACCCTCCGTGTACACGCCCAGTCAGGGGAAGACAACACTTTTGTTTCAAAATAGCGCCCATGCCCATGTATACGCCCAGGTATGCCGGAAACACCAGTACATGTACAGGTACTGATACCCAATACTTCTATCCCTATTCCAAGTATACGCCCGGTTCCAAAATAACGCCCGTGCCCTTGTATACGCCCAGGAAATCGAGGCTGCTATTCTATACGCCCGGGGGCCTATACACGGGCTTTTACGGTATCAGGCATGGCGAGTTTCGCCCCCTTCTCCATTTCCCGTGTCACTCGTACCACACATTGGTAGAAGCTCTCGTCACTCTTCTGCACCATGGCCACCAATGCCAGGGTTCTAGCCAAAGGGGTGTAGGGGGTGCAGCCCCCCCCCCCCCCACAGTGAAAAAGTGCCGCCCCCTACTCATTTTCCGATTTTCGTGTTTTTTTCATGCAATTCAACGAAAATGCAGTCGAAAGTCACTATTAGATGGTTCATAAAGGCATCTTTGTCAGGGATTCGCCCCATACGTTGCATTTAGGGTGGCAAGACTATTATTGGAAAGTGGAAAAAATGAGATACGGGGTAACTGTTTCCCATGCCCGCCCCCCCCCCCCCCATACTATTTTGAACTGGCTAGAACCCTGAATGCCTGCCATGCCTTGTCGGCTGTCTTCCCATGTGCCGTTAGTAGCTCACGCTTGGCCACTGCAAACATGCGGCATCCGCAGCACGCGCTCTCTAGCTTGCTGCCTGTGACAGCAACGTGCAATCGTATCAGGTACTGGTCCTCGCTGAAATCATTCTGAGCCACCACGTCTTCAAACAACTCAATGTATGGCTCCACAGTTTGTTTTCCATCAAACTTGGGCATCTTGATGGCTGGCTTCCTTGCCATGGTATTATTACTGAGGATGCTGCTGTTGTCACTGGAGGGCCTGGACTGCGTGATCTCTGTACCTCTAACTCCGTAATCCTCTGCCGCAGCTCAGCATCGTCTCGATTCTCTTCTCTTTCCTCTGCTCGAGCGTCTCTCTCTCTATCTCTCTCTCTGTCTCTCTCTCTCTCTCTCTCTCTCTCTCTCTCTCTCTCTCTCTCTCTCTCTGTCTCTCTCTCTCTCTGTCTCTCTCTCTCTCTGTCTCTCTCTGTCTCTCTCTCTCTCTCTCTCTCTCTCTCTCTCTCTCTCTCTCTCTCTCTCTCTCTCTCTCTCTCTCTCTCTCTCTCTCTCTCTGTCTCTCCCTGTCTCTCTCTCTCTCTCTCTCTCTCTCTCTCTCTCTCTCTCTCTCTCTCTCTCTCTCTCTCTCTCTCTCTCTCTGCGTCTGCTCTTTCTCCTCGTGTTTCTGGATCCGCTCCTCTGCCAACTTGGCTCGGCCGACTTCAAAGTGAGGTACCAGTGTTTGATTGGCCGAATTCAGCAGGCACATGTGACTGTGTGCATGGAGTAACGCTGTGTGCATGGAGTAACGCTGTGTGCATGGAGTAACGCTGTGCAGGCTGAGGTCGTTGAGTGCTGTTTTACACAGGGTGTAGTGCGAGGGCCCAGAGAGAGCATTCCACTGGCCAGCAACGTCCGGTCTAAACAGATCATGGTGTCAGTAAATATGCCCAGTGAAGTATTCTTCTCGTGCTAAATCACCCAGTGTCTCAGGGTTACCCAATAGCACACGGCCAATGCATGTTGGTTGACTTCTCGCAGGAAATCAGCCATTGTCGGCTTTAGGGCGTCTCAGCCGAATTCTTGTGAGTAGACCGTACTAGCATGATCATTGGAATGTTTTTGAGCTATCAGGCCTTTTTTTTCTCGCCACAATCATCCTGTTGGCGGCAAAATCACGGAAACGTTCAAATCGAAGTGAAACCACCGTTCATTGTCTGCAGAGTGATGGGAGAGAGCTGGTCACCTCAAACATGGTGCTATTGAATACAGCTGCAAGATGCCTCACTCTTACTTCAACATAATTTTATATTAAATCTTATTTCTTTTCAGTACCTGCGTGTGCGTGCGTGCATGTGTGCAGCACTAGCTTATTTGATTGGTGAGTGCACGTGTGCCGGCTAGTGGTTGTGTGATTGGTGAGTGCACGTGTGCCGGCTAGTGGTTGTGTGATTGGTGAGTGCACGTGTGCCGGCTAGTGGTTGTGTGATTGGTGAGTGCACGTGTGCCGGCTAGTGGTTGCCATTACTCGTTAGGCACATCTGCCTGAAGGTGTATTTGTACCTGCCACCATTGTTGGTTTCAGGGTCCATATACAATCTACTGAAATATTTCCTTCACTGGTAGCCGTGTAAACTGTAAATGCTGTTGGATTCCGGGATGGATTCCTTGAGGTCGTCATTCCTTTGTCTGCATCTTGGTCTCGCCCACTTACTGAGGTGTAATGAGCCTAAATGGGATCCTTTCCAAGTCCACCCAGAGTTGGGGGATTTCAGGGGATGTCGGCTGTCGGGCTGTTCGATATCCGGTGGAGTCACCTTTCCTAGAAGTAGATTCCTTTGAATCTACCCACGTGGCCAGTTTCTGGCAGTGATCCAGTGCAGATACAAGTGCACATGTGTGTATGTGTGTGTGTGTGTGTGTGTGTGTGTGTGTGTGTGTGTGTGTGTATGTGTGTGTGTGTGTGTGTGTGTGTGTGTGTGTGTGTGTGTGTGTGTGTATGCCGGAGTATGTGGTGCGGTGTGTGTAGAAAAAAATGAAAAATAGGGATTCACTGGCCAGAAAAAGTTACTTCAATCACCTGTGTGGTGGATACCAGGCTAAAAATAGTGGCGGTCAATTCATCAGCCTTGCAAGCTGTTGAATGGTGTAATCCCAGCACAAGTTAGTTGCTATGTCTAACATAGCTGTTCGCTATCATCGCTTCCGCGATGGGCAGGTCTGAGGTCTGAGGTGCGTGTGTATGTGTGTGTGTGTGTGTGTGTGTGTGTGTGTGTGTGTGTGTGCTTGCCTTTTTTCGCAGAAATCGAATGATGTCACTCTGATGACCTACTTGTCGACACTGACGAAGAGCTGTGCTATTCTAAATGAGGTGGGTTCACGTTACAAGTGTTAGACTTTCATGGTTCTTGAATGGAGTACAATAAACTGAGTCTTGCTGGCGTTCAGGACTAGTACTTGTTCGTGCAGGAAATAGCGGATGCGGCAGACATCGCGGGCCAGTTCTGCGGTAGTCTGTTGCAGGCTGTGGCCTGCTAGATACAGGGACACATCATCAGCGTGCTGGTGCACCGTGCTGCTAGAGGCAATTTGCCCACGGACAGGTTAAAAAGCACACGGCGGAGAGTAGATCCCTGTGAGCCTTGTACAGCTCGCCTCTTGACATGCGTGTTGCAACTCACTGTCACCCGTTTTAACTTTCAAACCATTGCGATGCACTGTCTCCAATAGCTCCTGCAGAAACATGTCATAATTTACTGTGTCAAACGTTTTTATTATGTCGAGAAATGCTGCTGCCACGTAGTTACCTGTGTTCAAACGTTGCTGCCAGTCATTTGCCATCAAGGCTAACTAGTTATCACAGGAATGCTGTCCCCTGTGTGCATACTGTCCAAGCGGCGGTGCTTGGTTAGCTTGCGGAGTGTCGCACACGAATTACACGAAGTACTAACTGCGGCATCACGTACAGGCGTACAAATGCTGTTAATGAGAACAATACTGTATCTACCAAACCATTATTGAAAACACTGGCATTTGCCTGAGCCGGCGACAGTCATTGTACGACCTAGGGAGAGAGTCCTAAATTTGTACCCCAATCCACTTAAGGAGCACCTCCGTAAGTAGAGCTCCATTTTACATACTCTACGTAGACAACTTTCCGTAAGTGAAGTGCAAAGTCGCGAATTAACGAGTTTTTCCTGCTCACTGACGTAAAGTCGTTCAACATTACTTCGTGCGCAACCTCTCTGATGTCTGCTGGTGTTACAGTGTAGGCTTGGCGATTTTCGATTGCGATTTTGCCGGCTGATTTGATTGGGCCGCCAGACCACCCAGGGCGAGGAAATTCGTTCTTGGATAGATGTTGCATATCCTCCAGACAGCTGTTTCGCTCATCGAGAGCTCCTCAATGGAGGTCGATAACGATTATATAGCAGAAAAAGGGATGAATGTATTCATAGGGTACCGTGAAGGGCGCAATTGCGCACTTTCTACATGGAAAAGTGGCATACCCAAAGACTGTGCTGGTGACAAATGTTCTAATGGTGACAACGAATACACAGTGCTGCTGGGGCGTGCATGCACATGGCGCTAGAATTTAGACACGCCAATGAAGAAGGCAATCTGTTTTCAAGAACGTATTTCCTCACTATGGTGTTGTGAACGTGGGCCAAGAGCGCAGTGTGGAGTAGTGGAGTGTTCCGAATCATATGTCTTTTCAAGTTTTTTTAACGATAGTATTATCACACACCTGTGTGCATGCATAGTAATGTTGATACACACCTGTGTGCATGCATAGTAATGTCTATACACGCCTGCACAGTGCCTTTCTGTGACTTGTTTGTTACCCATGTTGTTAGGTGATAACGAAAACCATGCATGCAGAAGATAGAGCTGGAAGAAAGCCCAGGCAAGTAGGATTGCTTAAAACCCTCGGCACATAGACATACCATATCCCCTTCATTGACTTCTTATTCTGCTTTAGCACGTTGCTTTCATCCTCTTCCTGGAGAACTTTTCAAAGGCAATCCCTCCTCCGTTCTTTTCTGCTCTTTAGAAGCGAGTGTTGCTCTTGCGTTCTTTAAGAGTGTGCGTGCGCGCGCGTGTGTGTGTACATGTGTGTGTGTGTGTGTGTGTGTGTGTGTGTGTGTGTGTGTGTGTGTGTGCGTGCGTGCTTGCACATACGTGCCTTGTGCACATACCCGTGTGTCTACGTCGGCATGTTTCTGCACTAATGTGCACTTGTACAGTTTCCTTCCTAGATTGAGGTCATTGAACATATTTTCAAACTGCTTCTATACTAGCTACTGATGTCAAAGCTGCTTGCATTACTGACCGCCCAAACTATCTGATAGCCGTTATCCTATCTGCTTTTACATTCCTTGTCATGAAACTACATTTTAGGCACAAGCACAAGCGTTTGCTGAAATCTTCATGCTTATTGTTCTTATCATGGAGTAGTAAAGTACCGGTATTTTACTACTCTCTGGTTCTTATTGCTGTCCCTATAGCCACCTTTCTTTTTATCTTTCTATTTTTTTAAATAATTCTCATTGTAACCTGCCGTGTGCCACAAGCATCATTGTGTACTTGTGACACAGTTTTGTGTGTCATGAAATTGAAGCGGATACCAGCGGTACAATGTATGTACTCATACATAATAATATCTACATGTATGAGCACATACATTGTACCGCTGGTATCCGCTTCAATTATTTCGTCATAGAGGATAATAATATTATAATTATAGAGTGAAGTACATGACATTGTATTGTACTTCTCCCTGGAGTAAGTACATGACTGTGTAGTGTTCACAGTTTGGCTTGTCACGGTAGCAGAATACCCATATGTGTCTCTGGAGTCTTGGACCATGGTGTACTCATGTCATGCCCCCTGCCTCTGTAGCCATGGTAGCTCTGCATGCATGTAGTGTGGGTGCTGTGAACAATCCTTGAAAGTTGAAGCTCTCTAGCTCTGCAGTCTGGACTACTATTACTATTACATGTATTATGCATACATACGTACGTGTATGTCCAGCCATTCAAGCGAATATTCAAATCCAAATGTTCTTTCTCTGAGCTACACTATTATTATTTTTATTTTTATAAAAATTGCTATGTGACTTGAGTACAGTAAAACCTGTCAAGGCGGCGACCACTCGGATAAGGCAACCACTCGGATAAGGCGACCACCTGTCCTAGAAGACCACTGAAACCAGGACCACGGTGTGCCATTTCCAGTCAAATGAACCTGGATAAGGAGACCACCTGGTAACAGAGACCACCTTTTGAAGGTCCCATGAGCGGTCGTCTTAGACAGGTTTCACTGTATGTCGTTGCATGACAAGTCTGTACTGCATACACAATCATGTACATGTAGATCTACATGACTTGTAGTAGGATCATGACCATGATGACAATCATTGACAATGCATGATGACTGCACTCATGCACAGGACAGGAAGTGGAAGGGGGTGGACTGGGGACAAACAAAGGCATTCAACTAACCATGCTTCCCTGTCATCGGGTGCTGAGCTGAATACCAATACCAATACTGGCAATGGCAATGCAGCACTTACTTAGTATTTTACTCGTGGCTTCAGTCTTACTTGTGCCTGTGATACTTTCGTTCGACCAAAGTAGAAGGCAAAGTCCTGCTGCTTCGGTCTCAAGCGATGCATTCTTTCCACCTCTTGTCTGCCTCTGCTGAGCTGTCGATGTGCCTACAAGTAGCCCCGCGAACCGGGGCAGCTCTCTCTCTCGCGCCGATCCCACACAGACTGACAGTCTGTCGGTGACTGTTGTTGAGGCTGTAGCCTGTGTAGGGTGAGTCTCTCAGTCTCTCAGTGTGACGGTGCTGGCGCGTACAGTAGATCTACTCAGTAGTAGTAGCTAGCACTGCAATCTGCATTCTAGCTGCTCTCTTATTATTGCAGTCTTGCCGTGAGTGACTGCAGATTTGGCAGGAGCGGTGCGGATCAGATCGCAAAAATTGGTCTCTCTCTCTCTCCCTGTTCATCACGGAGTGGAGAAGGCTCGCCACCGACGATATAACTCGTGGCACAACGTCAAGTGCTGTATTTCTTGCCTGTCGATGTCGCGCTCGTTGTTACGGGCAAGACCCAGCTAGCCAGTGACCAGGTGACCTGAGCCGGGAAATCAAGTGCAGCGATTCCGGTGCTCGACACTTCCTCATCGGCAAATCTTCACCGCGGGAAACTTCCGAAAGCAATGTGGTGAAGTTCGCTTCGAGTTTGGCCACGGATCATCGGTGAGCTCCAGTGTCCGAAATCGTGACAGCAGGCTATCGCTAGTGCTGCGAGTTTGATCTGTCATAAGCCAGTCTTGGTAAGTCCACGCACGACTCCAGTGTTACATGAGCATCATAGCCATGGGCAATCATATCGTTCCATAACTGAAATGACAGATTGCCCCGACATGCGTTTTCATGATTGCAATCATGTCAGTATTGCCATCGCCATCGGCATATTGTACATCTACAGTCAACTTCGCTAATAACGACTGCGGATATAACGACAATTCGCGAATAACCACAGAATTTCCATGCCCAGAGCAAAGTCACATCCCATTGTTGAGACTTCGGGTACAACGACACTTCGCGAATAAGGACACCTTTTTGATGCCTCGCCGAGTGTCGTTATAAGCGAAGTTGACTGTACATGTATTGCCAGCATTTTGAATGTAATCACTGAACCACAGTTTGGACAGGATCTAGGACTGCGGTCGGCTTGATACCTTTCAGAAGTACCGGTAGTTACAAATAGGCGGGGGGGGGGGGGGGGTTAGATCCTGCACATCATGTACGCATGGTACAGACAGTTGTCGCCAAAGAAATCCGACCCCTGCAGGGCCTGCTCTAGGCATTCAACACAGCCCGGTCAGAGTGTACCTGGCGCATGCAGGCCAGCCGGGTCAAGCCGGGTCAGATCATCCGGCAGAAAAACAACCAAAAAGCCTGCTCAAAACGCAGGAAAACAGAAAGGCGAATTTATTACCGGAAATCGGAAATTTTAGAGAATAAGGCAAACTATAGACTGGCATGGTCGTAGTATTGTATTGTATTGTATTGTATTGTATTTATTTAAAAGGATTCTCCAAAAGCAAATGGATGCTTATCACGGAAGTCTCCCACATAAATATCGCAAGAAAAATGGGGAAATGGGGGAGAGGAGAGTGGAAGATGAAGCATGGGAAGAAGGGAAACAAGTACGTAAATATCGAGGTATAAAAGCAGGAAAGAAATCGACTGAGGGAAGAAATCACCTCTGCAGATAATAGCGGGACATTTACATGTAGATGAAAAAACCCCAGCAAGGATTAATTTTAAGGAAAAAAAATTCTCAAACGGAAAAGTTCGGAATTCCAGTCAGAGAATATCTATGCTGTGAGTAATGAGCCTTTAGAGCAATGCGAAAATTGACAGAGGACTGAACGCAGCGGATGTGTTCTGGAAGTTTGTTCCATTCCACAGATAAACTGAAGAGAGGGGATTTAAGGAAATGGGCGCCAGAACGAGGTAAAACTATAGAGGACGGGTGACGACAACTAAGGGATACATTGAATTTGAAACGAATTAGCAAAGACGGAAACTGGTAAAAGACATGATGAAAATACAGCAAGGACAGAATCTGACGACGCCACTTCAGGGATGACCAGTCACAAGTACGATTAAGAATCTGCTTCGGGGTTTCCCACTCAGGAGGGTGCCGGGCCAGCCAGGCCAGCCAGGGTCGACCTTTCTTCCAAGAGTCTTGGAAAGCGTCAGTTTTTTTCTCTTCGCTGCGGGCTCCATCGTCCAAATCACCAGTCGGCTGAAAACTACTTGCAACTGTGTCAAAAGCTGTAGCCAAAGTAACGCTTTTGTCAAAAGCGTTACTTTGAAAGTTTTGACTGCCTGCCCCATGGCCCATATGGCCATCGACGTCTTTGAATGTCCTGACTTCCTGCTCGCCGCTGGCCAAATCGCGCTCGAACCAGTTGACCCCAGTTGACCTGGTTGACCCTTGTAGCCGAGTTTCTGTCGCTTGTAGACTGTAGTGTGTAGATCTACAACGGTTGTGCTAGATTTGCAACAGATGGGGTCCGCGAGTCGTAAAATACCGGTATTTTAGGAATCCATTGTCAGTTTGAGACATTTTTCAGCCGGGTCAGACTGGACCCGGTGTTATCTGTTCGGCCAGGTCGTGCAGTTCCCCAGCCGGGCGCGTGACCCGGCTGACCCGGCTCTCCAGCAGGCCCTGCCCTGAGACGAACGGAAAGCAACACCAAGGATCTGGATCTTGCAGCCTCTGCGGCCCTCGCATGGGTTTTCAACTTTTTGGACTGTGCATGATGTAGTCAAACGTGGCGCTGCTTTTGACTTGCAGGTCGGATTTCTTTGGCCAAGACTGTAGACCCAAGTGCTCGAAGGTGGACCATGGTACCCTATTTTATGACCACCCGCAATTTCATGTTCTGTAATTGTATTCTACTCACAATCTTTGGTGAGGTCTCGAGGGGACACCATGATAATAATTATGTTCGTCACGAAGGCCAATTTTCAGGGGCCTGCGATCATTAGAAGCCCTTTGCCACACTGCACACTAGTGGGTTTCGAAATGCTGTTACAACCGTGATAAAAAATGGGGTACACTTTGTATGTCAAAGATCAACGTTGGCAAAACCAATTTGGAGTGGACACAGCACCAAATAGCACTCCGACAGAAATTCTTAATACTTACCTGAGTCGGAATGCCTATGCAGATGAGAAGAAGTTACAAACACCCAGCCATCACTGCAAGAAGGTGGGCGCTCCTGGCATTTCCACCATATTGGAGTGCACTGCGTTTATATCGCAGCACACATTGTGCAAGGAAGTGTCAGTTTCTTTTCGAGCTGATGCTGTAAGTATGCATGTTGCCTCCTCCTCCTCTATATCTACTAGTACAAGTCAGAGGAGTAATTCACAAGCCGGCAGTGCATTGCAGCCTCAGGTCATTGAGCCGCTGAGACCATTCGACCTCCTAACTCTACGGACTTCTCAGGTAGATCGCATGGAGTATGACTGTACTCGGCTTTGAAGTCACTGAAAGTCTGGCAAGAATAGAGCGCTCGGAAGATGTAGTCCCTCAGCTATCCGGATATTTGTATAAAAGATGGGTGGACGTAAAGAGATCTCAGTGAGCACACTTGCCATGAACCTTTTGCTGCCGAGATCCAAGTCCGTTCATTGTCTTTGTCATGTTCTCCTGCAGGCAAGCGAGCATTGAAAATCTCTAGACTGGAGTGCGATCTGCCTCAGTGCTGTTGAGCTTGCATCAGCATGCCGAGCCACGATCAAGACACGGCGTGGGAGGCGGCAATACTGCCCCTACTTCCCGGCCTACTGCACTGCGTGTCTGATGAGCACATTGCCCAGAGTATGACATCGTATGCGTTAGACCCGCGGGCACCACCGACTAAGTTGGACAGCAGCACATCAGGCTCTGGTCAGCAACTCATCGACGTCCTACGATCAAGCCTGGGCAGCGAACCAAGCGGGTGTCGCGTCGCTATCAACGTCTTCTGCTGTGCTGCTCGCCTGAAAGCTCAGGCTGGGGAAGAATGCAAGGAGCTCAGTGCTATTCTACGTGACATGGAGGAGGAGCTGGAGATCTACGCGGCAAACGTTGCTTATGATGGTAGGTGCTGTACTACTTCACGCTGTCACACTGCAGCGCTGATGGGTGCTCATACTCAGCACTGAGGTTACGTTTGGTTGGTCGCATTTCCATATGGGAATCACTCGGAATCATTCTCGCCCGTTTGGTTGGTCAAAAAAGTGCGTTAGGTTGGTCCCATTCCAGAATGGGAATCGCTGGGAATGATTCTTTTTGGAGAATGATCATTCCACCTCACATGCTGGAATGAGCATTCTCTTTCCGGAATCAAAAATGATAATGGTTGCCACGAGCCAAATAATGTGGCATCCGGTTCAAGTGCCTCAAATCATGCGCTCAAAAAGTACCTTGACTCTCTCAAGGAAACTAGAGTCGGGTAAAGAGAAGAGAGCCGCCATTCCACAACGACATCATGGAATTGTTATGTCAAGTGATTCCTAGTTGGTTCTGGCGTGTTTGTTTGGTCAGGTGATTCTTACCCATTCCCATTCCAGAATGGTTGTCATTTACATTCCGAAAATGCCCAACCAAACGCCACCTGAAGTTTGCTGTGTGTTTTCTGGGCATTACAAGTAAAGTGAAATAAACACATGCACAGTGCAACTTCGAATATTCGACAAGTTCGCGGCGACAACCCCTCAGCAGAACTTGTTCATGAGGATTTGGATAAGGAGAATATTTGGATAAGAACAAAAGCACCAGGCCACACTGATGTTCCTGTCATTCATTCTGATACTTGTCAGCATCTGGTGTACGCCATGTACCCGGGCACTCAAGATGGGGAGAAAACCTGGGGCATATCCTCACTGAATGGACAACAGATCATCAGCACGGGAGTCAAAGCGGCCGATGTGGCCCTTTTGACTGTGTACATAAAACAGTCATTTGTACTCTGTAGACACGTGAAGGATAAACCCCACAAAAGGTTTACACAATGCAGGATGTACTGTTGTTTTCACGATATCTACAAAAACTATGTGTAGGAGACACTAAAAAGCTAGGGTGCCAGTTTCCAATGAATGGACTGTGTATGTGCGTCAACAAAGTAAGCCCAGAGTTCTATCCAGGAAAAAACTGTAGGTGTGTGTGTGTGGGGGGGGGGGGGGGGGGGGTAAAGGAAACAAACATTTCACCCATCTTTCCATTTTGCACTATGTATTGCCTTGTCACTAAAACGCAACGTATGTTTGCACAGATTACCCAGAAAACGCAACGTATGTTTGCACAGATTACCCGGAACGATCGATTTGTGGCCACATATTTGCTGTGTGAACTGAAAAAAAGGAAAATTAAAGAAAATGAGTAGGGTGGTGTGCTATCAGAGTTGGGGGGGGGGGATCCCCCCCCCCCCCCCACCACCCCCTTTGGCTAGAACCCTGTAAGCCTATCGGTGACTGCAAGCTGTTTCACTTTGTCTTGCCCGTTGTCTTGCTACGATCTCACACGGGAAAATCCAGTGTTTCGCAGTGGTATGTTTTTTTTAGTACGCTTATAAACGTTGCTTGCACGTGCTGGGCAAATTTGAATATTTGTACGGAATCAAAATAATTATAATCTTGTACACTAACAGTGTAAATCAAGATGTGAATAGATTGGCCTGGAACTGCAGAATGCGACATTTTTGTATGGAAACGTTTTTGACACTGGGGATGGTGTAGGAAAGTGTACGCAGTATCCCGTCACACGCTGGACTGTAGCTGGAGCAGACTTATCACTGCCAAAGGATGCCACACGAATTACAATGTGTTCTGTTTCTCTTTAATCACTTTTGTTCCCCCGGATTTTCGTTTGTACTAAGCTGTGCACGCCGTGTATGGAGCACTGTGACCGCTAGTCAAGGTTCTTCTTTGTTCTGTTTCTCTACATTTTGTTGTGTGCTACATGTATGTAGGCTGTCTGCTTCGCTGGCTGTACATCAAAGAGGGCTGCCAAGCAATGGCTGATGCTCCCAAAGGACCCGAGCACGTGCTTGTGAACGACGACGCGCAGAGAAAAATGGAAGACGCGTTCTCTCCCGTAATGTCACCCGCGACTGGTCGGCGGCACTCCTCACAGAGCAGGCGGCCGTCTCAAAGCTCTGCTACTGCTTTGCCAGCTACAGCCTGTACAGGCGGCGCTGTCTCAAGCCCGACAAGCGTCAGCAGCACTGGTGGGACTGCCGTTGTAACTCTATGTGGCAACATGTCCGGGATTACGTCCTCAATGACCAAATTCAGTCATCATTACGTCCTCAATGACCAAATTCAGTCATCATTACGTCCTCAATGACCAAATTCAGTCATCATTACGTCCTCAATGACCAAATTCAGTCATTCAGTCATCTTCTGGCCAGCACATGTACTACTGATAGCCAGCAGCCGGTGAAGTGCACACGGCGCTATTCCACGATGGCCGAGTCTCGACGAAGCGCCGTGTGGGCTCTCTTCGATCCCAATGGGGCGGCCGGAACGAATCCAAACAACCTAGTCCTGTTGTCACTCATGCTCAGAGATCAGCACGGCATTGCAGCTTGGCCAGAACCAGCACCTGGTAAGTCTGCTGGCATGTCAGCAGCAGAAATCTACGCGGCACAAATTCACGCAGCGCAGTATGCACATCACTGCCGCCTGGCGCGCTCATCGGTCGAAGGTTCCGGCCATGTGGTGTGTTTCTTCTCTGAAGCGCAGACGATGCAAATGGTCGTCGAGGCACCAGAGGCGCACCTTGCTCGTGCCCGATCGCCGGACAAGGTCAAGGTCGGTGGCATGGGTGGCGTCCTGGAGCTAGGCCAGTGGCTCCAGCAGAGAGCGCAGTCACCACCCAGCATGTCCGCGTGGTACTACACTGTCGCCGTGCTGAGCGATGCACTTAGTCGTTATCCGCTGCACGGAGTGTTGGCCCGGTCTCGATCAAAGCTAACGCTGCACTGTGTGTTCGACGTGGGAAAACAGCTCTTCGAAGAGAAAGCCATATCGAAACTCCTCAAGACGTGCATGGCGCAGATATTCCCCCAGCAAGCACCTGACAAACGGCAGCCATCCAATGGAAGACAAGTCACCTCATTCAGCACAGGTGTGGGTGTGAACGGAATCACCCTGGATGAGTTTAATAGCTCATTCGAAGCGATATTGTACTCAGCAGTTGTTACAGACGATCACTGGGTGCATTCGATGGCTGGTATCATTCCCTGTTCACTCAAGTTATCGGCAGCCTGTGACACTACTGAACGAATGAAAATGGAGCCACCATTACAACACCCACAACTGTTCTCACCATCTTTGCAACCGAGCGGTGAAGCTGCCAAGGCACCGTGTTTGTCCAACATCTTTCCTGGCTACCAGATAGAAGGCCTTGAGCGACTGCTGGGAACGTGGAATGGCTCCGTACGTATCTACACGTGCATTGGATCTGCAGACGCGCTGCCATGGCAGTTCCTCAACACACTCGGTTGTTTGGCCTACGGCAGCATGGATTGGCAAGGAGAAAGCGACGCGGACGCGCATTGCAAGGTATGCCATCGAATATCCCGTGATGGCCAAGAGCTACTGGTCTTTCTGAGCATTGACCCCACCTGTGCACCCGCAACAAGCACGTCAAGAAAACTCGCCTCCACAGTTATTGCCGCACTTGCCATCTCAGATTCAACTGTGCTCATCGAGTCCAATGTCAATCAACATCCAAATGGCAAACGGCCATTGTCAGTCGTACAGAGCCTGCCAAAACACCTTAGCACGCTGACATCAACCGTGACATTACCTCCATCGTTCAGTCGTGACCGGCAGTTATTCAAAGGCAATGTTATATTGGTGTGCAACAGTTCATCATCTCCTACTAATGGTGGTACTCAGGGACCTACTGCAGTGTATGGAACTACTGCAAAGAGCCTTCTGGTGGACGGTGGCGAGGACTACGTGCAGCGGCAATCCCAGCAATATCTTTCCTTTGCCAGCTTGACTGCTGCCATGCCAATCTCGCAGGCCCTGTCTGCGTTGTCCGCACCTCACGACAATCGTCCGTCTAACAATGTTTGGATGAACAGCAGTCGCGTGCGGGACCTCCTTAAGCTCATCCTGCTAGCCGACACCGAGGCAACTGGTCATCCACACCTACTTCTGGATAAGTCACTAATGGACCAGATTGCATCAGTCCTCGGTGATCTCGAGCGCTATATGTTAGCTCACTGGAGATTGCTCTTTGCGTCATTGGAAACCGCTCGCATACATGAAGGCTGCCAAGCACCTCCACTGAGCCAGCCTCAAGATCTGGACAACGTGCTGGAAGCGGATTTGCGGTGCTTCGCTCGCTCCATCCTACACAGCCCTGACGTCAGGACGCTACGTGACTATCAAGATCGGATCAAGAGAACCTACGCGGAGAATGTGCAGCAGTTATGCCAGGATGCCGGGAAAGTTGCAGACAGATGGATGTACGACAGCCAGGACCACTTTTCCAACCTGCTGAAGATAAAGCTGAGCCGACGGCTAGAGCAGCTCAAGCAGCGCTCAATGCTGTGCTTCAGCAAGTGCCGCTGTGGCTGTGATTTGCCGTGTCTACTGGCATCAGGCCATGATGGAAAGTGTAGTGCATTGGTGGCTGATGCGGCCGGGCAAGACGGCATGGATTCCAGACACCTTTGCAGTCACAAGTGTATGTTTTGCCAGACAGCACACGTCACTAGCACCGTTTACACCGACAGCACTACCACTTCTGCCGCTTGCAGTACCAGCACCGGCTGTAGCATTACCACCACTGCCACCACCAGCAGCAGCAGCAGCAGCAGTGCGGCTATCGACAGCTGTAGCAGCAGTACCAGCAGCAATGCCAGTGATACCAGCCATGACAGGAGCAGCTTCGATGAATCCAACACTTGCTGCACTGGATTAGCTGGCCATCATCTCTTGGATCTTGATACGGAGGACTTGCTTCATCTGTGTTCCGAGGCAGAAGCTAAGCATCGATGTGGCCAAGCGGCGGAGCAATGTTGGCTGTTGGAAAGCAGAGGCTGTGCAGGAGAATGCAAGTACTGGTTAGGCCATGCCAGTCGTCGTTCTGACCTAGGCAAGTGTATGTGTAATGTGGACGAGCAGAAACACTTGTGTCCAGTGCAGTGCGAGATGCAGGATCATCGCGGCTGTGGCGCTGTTTGCTCTGAAACACATCTACCCGCTCATAGCCAACACCTGTGTACAGCTCCGCACCAGTGTGCAGACGTCTGTGAAGGTGTGGAATGCGGCTGCTTTGATTCTGTCTATGCTGATCATGCCGGCAACGAGTCGGGCAGAAGCAGTGCCAGAAGCATCAGCAGCAGCAGCAGCAGCAGCATCAGCCAAGGACTGCATCTAGACACGCGTAAGCCATGCATGGAGTGGTTACGACCTGGTGAACGGCACCATGCCCATCCACATTCCTGTCATGGTCCCACTGTCTACTGTAAGAAGCCCTGCCCTTCCGCCTGCGGCAGGGTGTGCTGGTTGAGGCTCGGCCACAGCCAGCCATGTGAGATCCAGCACACAGGGTACCTATGCTCTGCTTCTGCTGGCACGCAGAAACTAATGCGCAGCTTCTTTCAGGCCGGTAGTAACAGTGGGTTGGTCTGAGGCCATGGGTGAGAAACTGGAGGTACCAGATGCAAGTCCTGCTTGGTAGCGGAAGCTTTTTTCCAGCCATCCTGCGACCCACAGTGAATTGGGAACTTGTGGCCTGGCACAAGGGTAACATGCAGGCGCGTGCTCGGCGATGGGCGCGGGGGGCACGTGCACCCCCCAAAAATTTTCAATCTGGGTAATTGCAATTGTAATGTATGCAAATATGCTCTAAAATTCAAGAAAGGTTGCAAACAAATTGGCTCCCCTCGGCTCCCGTGCACCCCCCTAGTTGGGGGGCCGAGCACGCCCCTGACATGGATGTGGCAAATAGGATTTCGGCCTTTGGCCTTTGGTTGGTGGATCTGACCTGTTCCCCCTCAACGTTTGGAGGGCTGCACCTGATGCCTGATCATGCGGTGGTGGCGTCCCACGGACTGAGCAGAAAGGCGGTTCTTGACCCGCCACCGCCCTGTACAACATTTTCAATTGTATTTCTTTGATAAATTTTCTGCCATGATAAATCAGCATACTTGTGCTAGTACTAGTAGTAGCTACCAGCAGTGCCTGCATGCAGTGCCTGCATGCATATGCAGTGGGAGGCAAAACACACCCATCGTGTTTCTTTCTCCGACATTTTATAGCAAGGATAAATTTTATGGCAGGATAATTTTTTTAGTTTTGGTGCTACATTTGATAGAGAACTAGTTTTAGATGTGTCTACGGGTGCTCAATATCGGTAGCAGCTGCCTGCCCATCATGGTCTCTGCTCAATACATGCATCCGTGTGGTGGTAAGCTGCCTGTGATGGTATCACTATCATCAGGGCACTTGACTTGAGTACAGTTTTAGGCGGAAGCAGACTGTTTTGTTTCCTTGAGTTTTGGCATGACTGATGATGTTAGTTCATTCAAGGTTGATAGGTTGATAGAATCCAGAATCCAGATACATGTACATGTAACATTCCTTTCAAGTTTTTAGCACTGCAGTATTTCATGCAACACTCTGCTATTTCCTGTGCTGGAGTTAATTCCCTGGAGATTTTATGTACTGGACTGCGGCTTTGTCGTTGGCTGCATGGTTGCCAGTGCAGACACGCGGACATGTGTGTGTGTGTGTGTGTGTGTGTGTGTGTGTGTGTGTGTGTGTGTGTGTGTATGTGTGTGAGGCTGGGTGCTCATACTACTACTACAGGCGCGTAGCACCGCCGTTGGCGGTGGTCCGGCCGGGGGGGGGGGGGGGGGGGGTCCGGGGGATGTCCCCCGTATTTTTTTTGAAATTAGGGTGCAAAACCCTGCATTCTGGGCACTTTTGGCATTGTTTTACTATGGTGGTCGTAGTCGGGCGAAAAAGTGGTCCAGCCAAAGCCGGAGCGGCTGCTACGCCCCTGTACTAGCACTGGGGCTCTGCCATTCCGGACACTGGGAAATCCCCTTGAAATGGGGGAAGGGGGGGGGGGAGGCGGAGGCTAGCGAAGGGCAAGGTCCACTACACTTCACAGCTCCACCAGACTCATAGTAGATCTTCTCACACACGATGAAATTTAATAATCCTTGGACAAGACCGTTACTATAAACTGTTACTTGGTCTTGGTCTTGAGAAGTTGAGTTGGTGTGAAATGCTCTACTGACTCAGTGAGTCTGAGTGCTACATGATTGTAGTGATGTACGACACTGGCACAGCGCAGTGACAACTGACGCTCCTGACTGTAGAATCTACAACGGAATCCGGCGAATGATCATGATTGTAGCGGCATAGCGCCTGCATAGATCTACGATTTGTGAGCAGTACAAACCGTCCATTGTCCAGTTCAGCCTCAGGGAAATGTTTTCACAAGTAGCCACAGTGACTGAGTCTCTGTCAGTTCGCTTGTCCCTCGAGCAAAACACAGTTACACTCGTTGATGCGGGAGTTCCAGTCAAGCTGAGGAAGCAGCTAACGTTACCCCGTCGACAGGAAGTACTCGTAGATCTACGAGTCATAGATCTACTCTGCTGGGACACGGAATGTCGCATCTTGCACGTCAGTCCACTGAGGACATGATAGCAGAAGTCACTTTGCGGCTGTCCAAGAACCATAGAAGTTAGAACGGGGAGCATGATGTTCCGGGGTATGGCCGAGCACTGGTGGCAGTGCTAGTGGTGCATTCGTTAGCCATTTCGGTGTTGTCAACTCACAGCGTCTCCGGCTTGCCAAACTACTCATCTCGATGCCGGCTTGGCGAGCGGTAGCCTGCATGCATTCGCCGCTGCTAGGAACGGACGAGAAGGGACGCAGGTGATGAGCAATGGCAGCAGAGCCAAACGTCTCTTTCCTCGTCTTGTCGCATCGCAACTGGTCGAGGAGCCACTCGTGTCATGATCATGCGGCCTATTATCGTTAGGGACCTAGCCCTAGGTGCAGTTTTCGGTGTTGAGGATTCAGTGTGGAGGCTTGAATTGCCACCTCGGTAAGTCAAACGACGCTTGGAACATGCCATTGTGTATTATCATGGCATACACACATAATGTAGCGGTGTCATTGTTGTAACGCAGCTATGTGCATGAAACCCAGCGTTACAACAATGACCTAGCCGGCTGTCTCTGTTCTCTTCTGCCTTTGTCGTAATGCTCCATCCTTCTGGTGTTGAGAACTCTAGGCAATCTGGGAACTCTCGCTATTATGTAGCGGTGTACACTGCTAATGGCGTCAGTTATTTATCTCTAACTGCTCCAAGTGGCTCGAAGAACAAACAAACGACTCTAGCGAATGAGGTTCAGCCTAGGGATGGGGAGAGTTGGAGAGAGAGAGAGGGAGAACACCGACTGAAGCAGTGGAGGCCAGCCTTTGCTCATACCCTTTGTGTTATGTGAGATTTTGCCCACGGACAGACTGGGCGTGCACGGAAGGGGGGGGGGGGGGCAATGAAGAAGTATCTCCAAGGGCCGTAGTACCCAAGGCCGTAGCGCCCGGTCCGGCCATGGCCAGACGCATTTTCGAAGTAGGGTCGACCATCCCAATCCGTGCATAACGGGGTTTTTTCAATGTTCATCTCCAGCCAAGTCCAGTATGATACCGTATTCTGTAAAGTGTATACTGTATATTCCATTTGGCCGGTCCAGCTGGAAGGTTCCAGCGGTAATGGGTATGGATTGACCATGTGTGGACCGCGGAGTAGACCTCTATGAGGCCGTGGTTCTTTGCCGCCATCACGGCTTGCCATTGTCAATCGTCAGCTATTGATGCATTGTTAGACCGAATTTGCCTGCATTGCTCAGGGGTGTCGGACACGCTATACGGTCACTACGGTTTTGACCGTACCACTCGTTGCCCCATCGTACCCTGTGAATTAATAACAGGCACTGATTCGGGCTCTAAATTTCAAAAATTTTCTGTGGAGACACCCCAGCCCCACGAGTAAATTGTCCTTCAGGTGGCTGACTGTACCACCCTGAAATACCCTCCGACGCCCCTGTGGCTGCATCATAATTGGCTGATCCATGCACACATTTCCTACCTGTTAGATATCGAGCACCCGGGCTGGCTTTCTTTTGCAGCCCTCCCGTGTTTTCACCTGTGTATTTTGGCATGATATGACATATGGTCAGACCGAGTCATAGCAATTCAGGGTGTTGGTGCTGTTTTCCTGTTTATTCATTGCTGTAGGAAACTTCACATCACACCATCACTGCACTGCTTGGTGTGGCTAACTCATCTTGCAGGGAGCTCAGGCGGTGCATTACCTTCATCAGCGTCACAATGTCACACAATCCAGCTATCGGTACCACGGCTAGGAGTATAGAAATAGCCGCACTGCTGCCAGACCTGCAGTGACATTAAATGTTTTGTCTTCAAGGCATCTCTCACAGAGTCTGATGCTCTACACAATAGATCAGGACTCCGGTGCGAATGTACTAGAAACTGATGCAGCTAACTTAGCCCTGAGAAGGACAGTATAGGAGCGCTCGAAAGCAATTGCAGTGTTTCAAACCAATAGCTGTGCTGCTCGCCTGAAAGCTCAGATTGGAGAGGACTGCATGGAGCTGATCGCTACTGTACGTGACATGGGCGAGGAGCTGGAGATCTACGCTGCAAATCTCACCTATGCAGGTGGGTGCCTGTCTTTCTCCCTGCACTTTGCTGTTTTATCTTAAGTCTAAAGTAGAGTGAGTGCATTAGGACTTCCCTTGATGGATCTACCTGTGATTGGACCCCAGCTTTTCACATACATGTATGCGCATAGGAAGCACATGCGGTGACACGTCATTACAACATACCGCAAGGGACACGCAATTTGTACTTTACAGCAGAACCACAACAGCAAGCGACTGGTATAGTATACGGTACATGGTCGTCCAAAAATTGTACTTCATATGCAATAAATATGCATGATTATACCTACTTCACTAGTTTGAGGGAAAGAGACAAACGTGATTATACCTACCTTAATATATACACCCCCATTCATCACACAGAGCCTCGGCCAGTTCACTGTATTTTCTAGAAAAAATAAATACTGGTAATGACTGAGGTAGGTATAAGTCGGATATACCCTTCGCTGGAGTGTACAAGTATATGGAAAATATACACCATCAAACAAACCTCGGCCTTCGGCCTCGGTTTGCATTTGGTGTGTATTTTCCATATACACTCCAGCTCAGGGTATATCCTATACGTATCCAATAACTATCCATGATATGCTTAAAGTACGGAAAAATACGAAAGGTTGGTAGCACTGGCAGACTGATGAGGATGCAATCACAGGTTGGCAGCACACACGCATGCCTAGTGTAGTCCGCCCAAAGTTCCCACTGCGGAGTGCCAGGATCATGATGCCAAAGCCGCCTAACGTTAGGTGATAATGCTACGTGATGTCATGGTCTTGTTGTTGTTGTTGTTGTTGTTGTTGTTGTTGTTGTTGTTGTTGTTGTTGTTGTTGTTGTTGTTGTTGTTGTTGCTGCTGCTGTGTGTTGACATTGTGTGTATGTATGTGTTTATGTAACGTTATGTGTGTGTGTGTGTGTGTGCATGTGTGTGTGTGTGTGTGTGTGTGTGTGTACGCATGTGTGTGTGTGTGTGTGTGTGTGTGTGTGTGCATGTGCATGTGTGTGTGTGTGTGTGTGTGTGTGTGTACGCATGTGTACGCCCACTTGTCTCTACAGAGAGTGTCTTCTGTGCTAGATCTACATACAGGATCACTACCAGTATGTTGATGGGCACAGCACAAAGCAGCATCTGATAGTGTGCAAAGATGGCTTGAAGCGGACTTCTCGCCACTACCCTCGTCATATCCCAGATCACCCGGGGCAATTCCCACACCTGTGCAGAGAGCTACCTCCACACCATTCAAGGTTGCACGCCGGGATGTGGAGAGCTTCCTCCACACCATCCAGGGTCGCACCACTGCCAAGGATGCGGAGAGCTAGCCCGACACAAGTAAATGCTCGTCTGATTCATTTCATCACACCGTCCAAGGTCGCACCAATGCCGAGGATGCGGAGAGCTAGCCCGACACAAGTAAAATACTCGTCTGATCCATTTCGTCGAGTGCCCAGTATGTGCGCATGGTGGAAGTGCCATAGTACTGTGTCGATCGATGTCAGCAATTACGGCCACCCTGATTCACTACAGCTCAGAGCAGTCACACAGCGAGTAGAGACCTCTTTGACAGCGGTGAAGGCGAGAACGCATCGGCGAGTCATGGAGGCTGTGAAACACAGCACAACGCCTATCTCTGAGTCTGTGCGTTGCTGGCATGTACCAGCAGCTATATGCAGTCTGTTCTCATGCAGTCTGTTCTCTACTTTTTGCCACAGTGAGGCTGTCGGTGCTCAGGAACCACCTCACCGTTCATTCGGCTCGTTCTTGCTCCAAATTGGTTGTCATGCATGCTACTTTCTATTTCAGAGTTTCGCTCTTGAATTTCTTACAGTCTGCGCTTTCCCATGTGTCATTATTGAGAAAAATAATGCCCCCCCCCAACCTTTATTACGCCGCTGTAATTGGCCCATACCCCCTCTCCCCATATTGGGTGTGCCTTCTTCACATGTACCACTTCTGCAACCTTCATATGCTCTCCCTCTGCCCCCATTTGACCCAGTACTGCAGGAATCCTGGTGTGAAAATTCATGTGTATTAAAAGTCAAAATGTTTCCAACAGAATGAGAACAAACCAGAAATTTCCAGCAAAAATATTACTTGAAACTCGGATGTTGAGCCATAAATAAATGTGGAAGAGAAAAGGACATATGGATACGAGTTAAGAGTAACTCTCCATCACTGTAACATGATACTATATACAGTCAGAAAGTGCAATAACTAGGCACAAAACTGACAGAGTACTGAAACATTCGACGTCGGCACTTTCTGACTGTATATAGTATCATGTTACAGTGATGGAGAGTTACTCTTAACTCGTATCCATATGTCCTTTTCTCTTCCACAAAAATATTACTATGAAAGTTATCTGGGGGAAATTGAAAACAATGTGCAAATGAAATAAATTGTGAAAAATGGGGGTCTCGCTCCACATAAACCGGTGTAAACCAGACAGACAACGGAGGCAGGAGGAGCACACAAACAAAAAAAGCGGCCACAGGGCAGTAGGCCGCAGCCAGATGTGAACTAAATTGCAGAAGGAAACTAGGAGCTACAGCAGGGGGATAGAGTCTCTGGAGTAAAGAATGGATATGCTCGGCTAACAGAAAATCAAACAACAGAAAATCAAATAGGCCAGGATAGTCTTGGGAATGTCAAGATTAGTTTTTCTGGACCGAGACAGCCGGGGAAAACCCTCGCTTTGAAGGAAGTCACAGCAGCCGCTACCACGCGAGAGTAATCCAAGGTGCAAGCACTTGAAAAGTAAGATGATGATGCATTGCACCTAGCCAGCAGAGGTTCATCATTATAGTTTATAGATAATTGAACATTAGAATTTCATTGTCCAGGATCGCCTCGGCTGACTTACCCTCGGTATGTATTACTATCATTAGAAGACCGTATTGTTTCAACATGCCGAAACTTCATTAAGACCGTATTGTATCAACATGCCGGAACTTCATTGATGTACTGTCAGTGCAGGTCGGTCCCAATCACTGTTTGCCTGCAGCTAGAGTAATCCCTTCCGCAGGGTTCACTTTAGTGATATTATAGCATTTGGACACGTGAACTTGTCAAGTCCATTTTCTCACATTACTAAATCTCCTGGCCGATACCAAATCAATCATGAGTAGCTGTGAAGAGCATTGAGTACATTGTCAGGATACTGCTCGAGTACGTGTCGTTTCGCATTGCTGATCCAGTGATACCGAGCTTGGTTCTGCGCCAGTCCATCACACGGCATATGAACATCTTGTATGGACACTTAACGGTGGTTTGAAAGCGCAAAGCAACAGGAAACGTGTCATTAGAACGATGCGTCTAAATACCGGAGCGAGGAGATCTGTTGGCCTGGTGACATACGTGTGGCTGAGGTCAATCCGGCACATAAAGAGTACATAACCCCAGCGTGAGGCGATTGCTTATACTCCGGATGATCCCGTGGAGCGCACCAACAACAGAGTTATCCGCAAGGTTTACAACCGCTACCCGCAAGGTTTACAACCGCTCATTCGCTGTTCTTGGTTTTCAAGTTCTCAGCTGTACAGTCATTGCCCATTGCAGGACCAGCCCGGCGCCCGTTGCTGTGATGCCTGCCACCGCTTGTTTCGCAGCGCTGCCGGTTTTTACAATTCATCTTTCCGTGGAGCGGCAAACACTGTTCAGGTCTACACAGAGCAGATCTGACAAGATTTGGCGCCGTCACTTCCAATGGCTGGGTCATATGACTCGCATAGGAGATCACATTCCCGCCGACTGCTCTATGGCGCCTTGCTGACTAAGCGGTCTCTGCATGGTCCCAGGAAGAGGTGGAATGACTTGGTCAAGCCAAGCATGGCGTGGCTGTGGTGGCCGTGGTGTCCATTAGCCTGGATGAGAGTGGCTTGACACGGCAGAGGACAGGTCAGAGTGGAGACAGACTAGGTGTCAGGATGGAGTTTACAGCACGATGCCTTCCCGCATGCAACCTGCCGCAAAGCTACTCCTATGCTCGGCTTTCACACATCGCTTCACTGAGTCGTCCGCAATACATCGCTAGACACGGATACATCTCCCATTGCTCTGAGAAAGCAAAAAACAACAGAAAAACAAAAAAAAACATAAGAGAGAGAAAGCCTGTTTGTGTCCCGCCGGGATGTGGTAATTCATGCACATACATTTTTTCCATTTCTGGTTTTCTGAGTATGCATTAAATTTGTATTGCATTTTCATCCATTGTGTTTCTTTTGCCCGTAAAAGAGGCTTCATCTACTTATCTAGGCTACTAGTATCTTGCTCGTGGGCCTTGTCTTGTCAGACTTTTCTTGAATGGTATGGTATGGTATTGATTTATTTGAATTCGGTATCTCAACAGTACAATGTACAACTTGGAATACCAAGTAAACCTGTTTAAGAGAGCATGTCTGAGAATACCAAAGTATGTAGGCAAGTGGATCTCTCCGATTTCGCTCAAAAATTTCAGGTATGTTCCCTTTGGGGTGTAGATCGATTGTGCAAAGCCCTTGAAAAAGTTTCTGAAGGGAACCTTGAAACTTGCATATCCCTCAAAATGGCCGAAATATCACACTATTTATGGGTCTACAAACGAGTCACACCACAGCGTATACGAACGAGCTACGAACAAAACTCCATCAACTTGATCAAGCCAACATTGCCCCACCTTAGAAGAGTTCCTGGAGCAGTACCGCTTAGCCACGCCAGGATCCCAGAAGACGAGGGTCATCACCCCTGACGCCACAAATGATCGTCTTGAAAATAGCTAATTTACAAGCGCTGGCAAAACAGCCAGCTACGTCCTCAATTGGCAAGAACTATACACTGGCAGATAGTAGAACACCTCTTCTAGCACTGAGGACATGTCCCCCATCTTCCTTTTGGGGTTTCTTGAAATCAACTTTTTTGAATTTTTCCACTCGACCATGCTGAAATACGGCCAAGTCATACCTGCGCAGGAAAGCTCGCCCCTCCGCGATGTCTCCTCAGCAATTTCTACTCCAACACAACTCCCAGCGCTGCAGCACAAAGTGTATTGTTGACTCTGACAAGGACAACCAGTGGTGATCACTTGTCACTCCAAACGACAAGCTTCTCCTTACATACTGCCACATCAGCTGTACATCCGCAACCATCAATCCAAGCACGTCGACATCATTTTTATGCTGCTCTAGCTTGGTAATTGCGGCCGAAATGCTCTGCTCTATAGGAATGTTCGAATAGAGGCCCACTACATGTACATCGAATGAGGTGATGTAGCCATCCGGGACCTGGCGATGTCTCTTGATGTCTTCAATGCACACTATTACCAAGCTAGGGCAGCATAAAAATGATGTTGACATGCTTGGATTGACGGTTGCGGATGTACAGCTGATGTTGCAGTATGTTCTGTCAAACAACTACTTCGAGTTCAAAAGTAAACAGTACCGTCAGAAGCGTGGAATTGCGATGGGGAACCATCTGGCACCTCCGCTGGCCATCCTCTTCATGAATGCTCATGAGCAGAAGGCTCTCTCGACAGCTACAGTGAAACCAGATCTCTACAAACGATATATCGACGACTGCATACTACTGTGGAGACATGGCTGGAAAGGTTTAACAGCACTTCTAGATCACTTCAACGGACAGCACGCTAATATCAAATTCACAATGGAACACTCGGTCAACGAAACTCAGTCAGTAAACTTCCTAGATCTAGCGCTGTCTGTGCGTGGAAACAGCATAGAGTGTGAGCTCTATGTTAAGCCTTCCCACAGTGGTGTCCACCTGTCTTATGAATCATGTCTCCCCTGGTCGTGTAAAAGAGCTATTGCAACGAACCAATTCTCTCAAGCTATCCGTAACTCATCAACACCGGAAGCGGAAGACAGGAGCATGTCCATAATTGAAGAGTTGCTCGAGAGAAATGACTATCCACGCACCGAGATGAACGCAGCACGACGAGCAGCCAAGGGGAAGAGACAAGATACACACCCGTCTCAACAATAGCAGCGTGACAGCAAGCGCAGCCACAACCAATTCAAGTCAGCCATCAAACTGCCCTTTATCAACGACTCACGTGCCGCTCGTGTCTCACGACGTGTTCGAAAGTTCAGTCCGCATGTTCGTGTTGTCTTTGTATCTGGTCCTTCTTTGAAGGATATGTTGGTTCGATCGTCGAGTGCCGTACGTGTGTGTCCCCGTGAGAAGCAGCGATCGGAGGTGAAGAGAGGGAGAGGTCGGCCAATGGAGTTCCATGCATGTGATGCGAGTATGGTGGATAGTCAGTGTTTAGTCAAAGGTGTTGTCTATTGTATGTCTTGCACGTTGTGTGCGGAATTGTACGTTGGTGAGACCGAGCGGCCGGCGAGGGACCGATTCGCTGAGCACTACCGAGAGGCAAGGGCGATGGTGGCAAAGGCTTCCTGGGGCTTCCACTATCATACCCAGCATCGAGAATCTCAAGTCTTCCAACTTTCTGCCCTTCCACCAGGCAAAGATTCTCGGCAGGGAGGCTTCGCTACCATCAAGGAAACTGCTTGAAGCTATCGAAATAAGGAAGCGCAAACCAGCAGTCAATTGCGATGGGGGTTGGCGCCTAATTGACTGATTGGATGTCACCGGATCGTCACTGGAATCAACACCCATCTCCTCGAACTACCACTGGACTTTACCACCTGACACAGCACATACACATACTTTGCACATACACTTGTCATATACATAGATCGCCTTTAGCATTCCCACACTTGAAAGTGTTCTTGTACGTGCTGTGATAGTCTATCTTCTTTCTTCTGTTTAGGTCACCTTACAGGTGATGATTGTAAACTTTAGTGTTAGTTTTCTTGCCTTCCTGCCAAATTGTGTCTGTGTGTATGTGTGAGTTTTCTCTTCCTTCGTTCTGTTTAGGTCACCTTACAAGTGATGATTGTTTAGTTTGCTGGCCTTGCCAATTGTGTCACCACGATGTGTTAGTTCTAGAACATTCATCTGCCTGCATTATTCGTCTTTATACATGTATTTCGTGTTTTTGCCTCCCCTTCCTCAATGCCCTGATGATGCCCAATGGGCGTACTATTGGCAAAGTTATCTATTCGGTGCAGCTGAGAGCCTGTTGCCGGAATGGCGGTATTTTCAGTGTATGCAAGTTTCAAGGTTCAACTCAGAAACTTTTTCAATGGGTTTGCACAATCGATCTACACCCCAAAGGGAACATAACTGCAAATTTTGAGCGAAATCGGAGAGCTCCACTTGCCCACATACTTTGGTATTCTCAGACATGCTCTTTAAAATACAGGGTGTGCCTGTGCACTTGCACAAGTAACTTGTGCAAGTGCACAGGCACACCCTGTATTTTAGTTGCAGGATCCAGGTCGGGCCCAGCTACCATGCACACTTGCACAGGGTAACACTGCCGGATGTTGCGAGTCTATCGAGTATTGTACAGTCATCCCTCTCTAATCCGGCACCTTTTGCAACGGCATTTTCTGCTGGATAAACAAGGGTGCTGGATTATCAAATCCTGCCCTCCAACCCGGCCCACCTATTAACATACATGTTTGTGTTGTACGTCAAAACGTAGCATTTTTCTGTGCCAATCCAAGTACTTTGCGGAATGCATGTCTATAACATACACTTGGGAATATCCTATGCACTAGCATAGGATATTCCCAAGTGTATGTTACATGTGTTGTGTATGTTACAATGCTGTATGTGACGTACAACTGCTGGATTAGAAAATCGAATTATGCACAGTTTGAGTGATTTGTTGCTGGAGGCGGAATTCAAGTGCCGGATTAAAGCGTAGAAAATGAACTGAAAAATTCCGTTTTGCCAGAAAGTGTGCTGGTTTGCAAGGGTGCTGGATAAACAAGTGCCGGATTAGAGAGGGACGACTGTATATCGTAGATCTATCATAGTCACACAAAGTATGGATACGGACACACGTGACAGGACATGCAGATTAGAACATACAATCATGTAATAGATGATATGCCAAATAACGTGCAACTAGACTTGAGAGGGCATCGCACACAAGTTGCATACCGTATTTCCTTGAACAGCCGCCGCGGCCTGTATTCAAAACTAGCAAAACGGGTGCGGCCCTGAAAAATAGTTGTACGTCACAATGTACGTGCTGTATGCGTAGAGTTCACATACGATGTGCACTGTTGAACCTGTGTTCTCCAGCTACACTGTAGGCTAGTGCATCTTCTTTTCTTTTCGTGTTCACAGGAAAAAATATCATGGCGAGGGAGCTTGAGGCTCGACTAGGAAGTTAGTTGCATGTTCAGCAGCAGCAGTCCCTCATGCCGACAAGGATGATGTAGAAGAGCTTAAAGAAGACGTTGACACTGAAAATTTTGGATGGAATAATAAAAAAGGACGCGCAAGTTTCTTCTCTCCCGTTTGATTTCTCTTTCTGCGTTCGTTTCTTTCACAGCGTCAGTGTCCACTTTCTCCTAGACAAGTTCTCGTATCTGAGTTCTTGGTTTTGTAGATTTAACAATCCTCCGTGCGTCTTACGTTTCATCCGTTTACTTTGTTCGCGTACCATTTTTTGGTGGTCGATAAAAATAACTTGTCTTGCTTTTCGTTATGTTGTAAGAGGTCATCATCATGGCGTATTCGATATGTTCCCTTCTTTAGATCGCCTTACAGTCCTTTGTCCGAACCGAGAGCAGCACTAGCTGCATGTGAAGGAGTATGACGTCGTAGCTGTGAAATAGCGTATAAATTTTGAACTGCCCTGCACTTGTGTACGAATAACCCTCAGTTCAAAGAAACTGGCGGCGCTTATTCAAGGGCGGCTGGTAATCAAGGGGCGGCGGGTGTTCAAGGAAATACGCTACACATTATACTACAATGTGTGCACGGTAGGCCTTGACCTCTGCAGGAATACAAGTCACAGGTACCCGTACAACTTTGAACTTTGTATGCAAGTACTCTGCAATGCCCTCTCAAGTCTACAGTGTAGTTGCATGTTAGGCTGTGTTTACATGAAGCGTTTCAACCCGGGTTGAGTTCGACCCGGGTCAGATTTCAACCCGCCATGTGCACAAAGTGAATGGCGCGTTTACATGACGCATTGCGCTTGACCCGGGTTGAAATTTCGCCCCGGGTTGATTTCAACCCTCCCCCCAAGGGGAGGGTTGAAATCAACCCGGGTCAAAAAATCGTACAAACGTACTTCTGTGCGTATCTCGCGCCAGGTTTGAACAGCACTGCAGATGCAAATTTCGCGCGAACGGATTCACGTGACCATACAGGACTGTAGAAGTGGACTTTTGGCGGCATATCAGTATTTGACCCGGGTCAACTGTCTTCATGTAAACGCTCACCTCTTTTGTCTATCGTACAGACTTTCAACCCGGGCTGAACTCGACCCGGGTTGAAATTTCTCATGTAAACACAGCCTTATTTGGCATATCATCTATTCAGCCAATGGCCATTAGCACCTCGAAGTAATAATTACTTGCCTTTTTCCGGTTCATGGAACTGTAGCCGAAACACAGGCTTTTGACATTGATCAGGAGCACGGCCACTCCCCAGGGTTCCGGTTGTGTTGTGCTCGTTGTGTGGATTTTCCGCCAGAGCGTCGAACTGAACTCTTCACCCGTACCCGTGCCAACGTTCGAGTCGGCCGTCCAAGCAACGACTCAGTGGCTCCGCACTCCGCATCCTCCGCATGCACAGTGAGTCGCTGATGCGTGTGACCGGCACAGGCCGTCCCATGCTACATAGCGCCATGAACAGACGCTAGCACACAGAATGAAGAAGAAAAAAGTTGGCCGGATTCGCGGCCGCAAAGCACACCGGTCCACCAGACATGCACCACGGAAAACGTCGCGCTTTTACCCCACTCAGGGAGAGAGAGAGAGAGAGAGAGAGAGAGAGAGAGAGAGAGAGCAGGGCTCCATATCCGGGCAGATGATTATATTCTTGTCCAACTGCAGGCGAAGGAGGACAGTACAGATGGACAAACAGCTAGCAAGACTTACCTCTTTCAACATTTAAAAATAAACTGTTCACCGTGAGAACGAAACAGCATGCTGTCCGCAGATTGAGTAAAAATAAAGCATAAATAAACAGAACCCTGGGCCTTGTTCTAGTAATTCTTCATGACTCATGAGACCTAACTCGATTTGAGCCTTGGGCTTGGGCCTTGGGCCTGGCCAGGTACTAGGTGCCTGTAGATCTACTAGTACTACAGTACTAGCCGTGTAGGCAGATACCGCCGGGTACAGATACGCACTGCTCACCAGAGCTGCAGCTTCAGTAAATGCCGGGAAGGAAATGAGGTCAGTGCAGATATTATGATATTGGCGCGATATTTAGCCAGGCCAGGTGAACACTGGTGAAGAGCGGCGCCAAGTCTCACCTACGAGATCAGTTCTGTGAGAAGTGTTCACGGTTGACTGAAAACTCACACCATCTACGGACCAGATCAGGCAGATGCCTGCTCGCATGAAGTATCTAATATTGACTGAGTACGAGGTCAATATGTATCTAATAGTAATATTGACTGAGTACGAGGTCAATATAGGAAATAAAAGCCGAGTAAAAGACCGAGGCGAAGCCGAGGTCTTTTACGAGGTTTTTATTTCCTATACTGACCAAGTACGAAGTCAATATTAGATTTATCACGACAAACAGTCCGTATTTCAAATTCCAGAACGATAACCTCATGAATCCCGGTTTTATGATTGCACAACCGTTGCACCACGGCCTACTCATGCAGTGACAATGCTGCACTAGGCACCGTTCAACTGCGCAACCCCTAAGCAGTCAAATATAAGCAGTCAATATAGCCCTAAGGAGTGAAATATGCAGGAATATTTAACTGCTTAGGTATGGCAAAAATCTATGTGAGTCAATACTAAGGGAGTGATAAGAAAAATTATAATTAATAAAAGCCGAGTAAAAGACCGAGGCGAAGCAGAGGTCTTTTACGAGGTCTTTTATTTCTTATGCTGACCAAGTATCACGACTAACCAAAGAATGACTTTTGATTGTGTTCAATCGCTAAAAAGGAGTCAAATATAAGCGGTCAATATAGCCCTTAGGAGTGAAATATGCAGGAATATTAATTTTGACTGCTTAGGTATAGCGAAAATCTATGGGAGTCAATACTAAGGGAGTGATAATTATTCATACTAGATCTACTGTGGAAAGAATTTCCACCCGGACGAGAACACCCAAACACTTGGATTGGACCTCTAGCTCTCCGACGTCTAGATCTACATGTATGTCTGTATAAATCGTGAAACCCGACATGATGACCGCGTTGGCGTTGATGACTGATGACAGTCTGAGTCAGTGGCTCGCGAGGGAGCATGCTAGCAGTGCAAAGTAACACGTCACTAGTTGCACGCACACATGTGCTTCGAACCTCCTTTCCACCCAGTCCTTGTAGTTGTACTGTTGTGTTGAAGAGTCTGACTGACCGGAAATGTGACCCCAGGCACTGTATGTAGACTGTAGTACTGTGGAGTGTGGTAGTGGATGTGTCACTGCCAGTGACTGAGTGTAGACTAAAAACAGGAAGTAAGTTAGGAAACCTGCCACCGACCGTGGCCCACCGACAAGAAAGAAAAAAGCAGTTTAACTAAGTAACTAATTACTTAGTTACTTTAGTGCAAATCACACTATTGACGTCGCATGTGCTGTGAGCTGTCAAGCATCATGTTATTAATTACTATCACCAACGCATCACTATTGTTATCAATATCACCTCAGCTAGCTATCACTCCACACTGGGCCACAGACACGGTGAACACTACTCTACATGTATCACGGGGGGGGGGGGTCTCAGATTCTGTGACATAGTCATCGCCGCTTACTTCGCCAGAAGAAGCCACGATCGCTGCAGACAGTCAGCGAAACTAACTAGCTTCAGTGAAACGTTCCTCCTAGACAGTAGAACCATTCAAAGAATCTGTTCTTCATAGCCGAAGTCATGACATTCATGATTGTAAATTTTAATATCCAAGGTGAAATGATGGGAATAATGCAGGGTTGTCAAAATAGTACTACATGTATATCCCACAGTGTATTAATAATACATCAGAGTACATTTGATTGCACACGAGGTGAAGTTTCACTACACTACACTACACTACACTACAGGCTTGCTACCTGCAATACGTCACCGCATGTAGACTGTTAGTCTTGTTGGAGGAGGTTGTACTGGGATCCGCTGCATACAGAGTCACAGACTGAGCAGTCAGCGCTGAACTCCGAGTGCCAGAATGACAGACAGTTGATGTTACCAACAGCCTATGTTTACAAGTAGACCTACACTTTCGTAACAAATCGAGAGCTAAAAGGGCTACTCAGTAGCCACATTCGGGAAGAGTTCTGAGCAGTTTGTTAGAAGAGGACAGCAGGAGATTCCACGGAATAGGTTGGGAGATGTGGCGACAGACCGCTGTGCTCGCCTGGACGAGTTGCCTGTTGGCGGTCGCTATGACTGTAGGTGGGACCGACGTGGAGACATCGTCACCGAACTTCATCTTCATGATGGTGAGTTGCTTCATCACGCGTGCCTTGTACATTGCTCAAGTGCACGTTGGTGTGTGGGCATTGTGGGGCGACTGGATCGAATTGTCCGAACATGGAGCCTGTGATGAGCGGCCCTGGTCCAGAGGGTGACACATTCACGTACATGTACATGTACATCATGCACAGTCATCATTAGTATACTAGTTACTACTAGTTACTAGTTGGGTTCATTCATTGGCAACATTCAAGTAGCTACAGTTCCATAATCCACATCAAACGCTCTGCCTCTGGCCCTCGCTCTGGGTGCAGGGCATGCAGGCAACTAAGCCGGTACAATCATGATGTAGCATACTGTCGTCTACATGTACATGACTGAAGTTCAGGGGTCGCACTTGTGTACTTAGACATCGCAGCCATTTTTGATTCATCACGCACGCAGCACGTGCGCGTCAGGGTCGTGCAGCCAATCAGAGTTACGGAAAATTCAAAATATCGCAATATTTGGGCGATTTGTAAAGGGTTCCTTGGCAGCCGTTTATCTAGCTACGGCGTTGAAAATCGCAGGGCTGCTTTGACGGCCAAGTACGCGGACATCTATCGAAAGAAATTTTGAAATCGGTCAAGTAGAAGGGAAATCCGTGTGTAGGGCTTTTTCTGAGCGTTGTCGCCCTGCTTTCCAGTATTCTGACAGTAAATCTATGTCGTTGAGGAAAAAATTGATTCGGTAGATTTACGGAGGAGATTCTAATAAAGAAAATGAGCCCTCGATCATCGAAATCGGAGAAGAGATGGCTGCCAAGGAACATTTTGAAGACTGCAAGGACGGCCCGGCGCGAGCCGCTCGCGCGATTGCGCAGTGTCGGAAAGTACATGTACTTGGACTGCTTCGAGTTTATTTGGTGCGCGGAAGGGATCAGAATGATCTGCCTGCTGAATGCAACGCTTTGCCCTGTGTCTTTGTTTTGGAACAATGTTCATGTACATTCATTGCTTTCTTTCTCCAACTCGGCGATGCCGCGTTGCTGGACCATGAAGACTCCAAGACCAACTCAAGCCGACACCGTGCGATTGTGATGTTTGTGTCACAGGTATCATACAAGTGCAGTCCGTGCAGTAGGAAAAGTACCGATACAAGTGACATAAAACAAGGAAACCATACCGTCAGTAAGTCCCGATAGGATCGCTTTCCGTAGCAGGTGTACTCGTTGCTGGTATACTCCTTGTGGATCGAAGCAACTTTGCAAACAGAACCTCTTCCTCCTGAGAAATACTCCACTCGCATGATTCCCACGGTCGTTGTTCTGAGTATTGACACGCGAATTCAAAGCGGGAATATTTGCGCGCAAGCCTTAGACCTCCACTTACCAGTAAGTTTGCTGTTGTGACTTACAACTAAATGGAAGTCTATTTTGAAAGGAGAACGGGGAAAGAGAACGTCGCCGTGTCAAAACAAGAACGGTATCAGTGAAGAAGAAACTCTGTTCACAGAAATCAGAATTCAGATATCTGCAGGTCTTGATGTACGTAGCTAGCTTTGTAGCGCTTGTGCAGTTTTGTATGCAAACAATGCATTGAGAACCACACACGTGATCCAAAAGAGCACGCGTCGCGCATGCAGTCAAAAGCAAGATGGCCGCGATGTCGAGAGCTGATCATGATACCAAGTGCGACCCCTAAAGTTGCAAAACAGAGCTAGACTGCCAGTAGAGGGGTTCTAGGCTGTCCAGTACGGTGCTCAGTGCCGAAGGGCAGAGCTACATGTACTTCATGTACTACCTACAACAACAGCCTGGTTATAACACTTTCTTCATTCTCTCAGTCTTCTCGCTGTACATGTAGTTGTGTGGGTATGATGTATGGAATCAAGCAAGAGTACGAGTGTGAGATCGCCTAATCACAGCCCGCCGCGCGAAGCGCGAAGGGCTGTGATGCAGGCTGATCGAGCACGAGTACGAGTGTTTTGATTGCATTTCTGACATGCACCCACGCTTGAAACTCATATCGGACTTGTAAATACTTCGCGAAGGGCTGTGATTGGCTGATAGAACATGAACACGACTGTTTTGATTGGATTTCTGACAAGAACACGCACTTCGATCTTCCTATCGCGCTTGAAAGCACGACGATCAGCCTTCTCGAGCCCGAGTCGAGTAAAAAAAAAGCGAGCTTGATGTATGGAATCGAGCATGAGTACGAGGACGAAAGTGCGGAATCGGAGCCCGACGCGCGCTAGCGCGGAGGGCTCCGATTCTAGCACTTGAGTCCGAGTACGAATGCTTTGATACCATTTCTGACATGCATTGCACGAACTACTTCGTAGATCTACTACTAGTACTACTACATGTAGTACTTCACACATACCTAGTACCTACTCAAGGCACGCACACTAGACCAGACAAGGAACACAACTAGTCGCCAGTTTAGTACTTCAGACATGTTACATAATGACTAATGTACACAGTCACAACACAGAGATAAAACAAGGGCGGTCTAGTCAGCTAAAAACCAGGTCAGTTCAGCTTCTCTTCTTCGCAGTGACTACAGCCTACAGGTGCAGGTGAACATTGCAGTTTGCACCAAACTGAGCTCCGGAAAAGTTGATGGTCTTCGTAGCTTTCTGCATCAGAGACCGTTGGTGAGTTGGGGATTGCACTGTTGGGTCACAAGTTGCGATGTACTCATCAATGTCGGGATCGTGGAACTCAGTCTGCTGCTGTGATCGCTGAACGCTCGTTGTTGGCGCTGTAAGAGCACGGGTAGCAGCATTGGTTGCAGTTGGAGACTCTCCATCCAGAACTGCAGCCATCTCTTTTCTCTTTTGTTCTGAATTCCTGTTGGCATATGCGGTCAACGACTGGACCTGGCGATGTCCCGTCGTCCCCATGATCGCTGTCTCCGACACGCCCGCATCCACAAGCTTCTGCACTGCTGTTGCGCGGACACAATGATTTGTGTAGGATCTCGAGAGGTTGGCTTTGTTGGAGATCCTTTTCATCATAGCCTTTATGGTGTTCTTACCCAGCGGTAAACCAAAAAAAAAAAAAAAAAAAAAGCGGCCTCTGATGGCTGAATCGGAGCACGCCTGGGCGTGCTCCGATTGGAAAATCGGAGACCTGCAAGCGCTCACAGGTCTTCAGTGGCTGATTCAAAGCACGGCAAGTCGCGCTAGGATTCGCTGTTGCCATGTCGATTGTCATGTGACATGTCAGAACAGTGAATCAAAGCCCTAGTGGAGCGGGCTTTGATCGTAAAATCAAAGCCCGCCTGGGCGGGCTTTGATGGGAAAATCAAAGCCCGCTCCACTAAATATGGAGTTCTACTTCTTGTAGCATGCTTTGATCGCCTCATCTAGGCCCTGCTAGGTGCAATGCGATTGGTCATCTCCGTGCCTACAGTCTTGTGACATGTCAGAAGATGGCAGCATAACACAAGGTGGAGGCCATGCATGGCAAGAACCTGTGCTCCTGATAACAACCAGTGGCCGGTCAGCAGGGAGATTAGTCTTACTACCATGAACCTATGGGATACTGGGTGTCGTCCTGGTTGTGAAATACTGAACATTATCATACCTGGTAAACTCACAAGCAAGGCTTACACTATGCACATGTAGATGTAGAATGATGTAGATGTCACATGGCAGTAGCCTAAGGCATGGCATGCTGATGATGGCTTTGCCAGCGTTGCCATCATTTCCATACAAAGTCAAACAAGTAACAAAGTCAAACAACAAGTATATCCATGCATATCAACGTCTCATACATCAACGTCTCATACATCAGTACAGTCATGTAGATCTACTGACATGAATGTACCGTCGGAGATGTTGATGTACGACTTCCTTACCGGGTATCCGGCTATCCGATAGTGGCACGCTTACTTGAGCTGAACATGCACTATTGGGATACCCTGCATGCTGGCAAGGTTATAGCTTCATCAGGCATGATTCCCTTGGGCCTGGTTATAGATATGTGCCATATGAAGAATAAAAAATACTTCAGAGTATGTCTAACACCACTGGCACCATGGACTGTACTCTGCTCAGATGTATATTGGAAGTCACGTTCGTATTTTGTACTGTTTGGCTCAGGCGGATGACTATGGCTGGGGTGACGTTGGATACAATGGCGGCAATGCTTCCACACCAAATCTGGACGCCATGGCAAAGGGTCCTAACAGCCTAAAGCTGCAGCGGTACTACAGTGGAGGTAGGAGCACCAGTGACCACACACTCCGGCATGCCATTGTGCATGTACACGTAGGGTCATGATCAGTAGTGAACGTAGGCCTACTCAGAAGGCAGAACAAGGTTTTACTTGTTATTGTTGCATCTAGTCTTGTTCTGCCTGCTCTGTAAGGATGCTCTGTTGAAGTACATGCACCGAGCTCTCTGTGAACAGAGGAGGATTCCTAGTGTGATGTCAATCATGTCATCATGTGACCCAATGTATCACTATGTACTATGACTGTTGGGTTATAATATTCACATGCTTACCCCCCCCCCCTTCACATGCTTACCCCCCCCCCCCCCTCCCCCTTCACATGCTTCCCCCCCCCCCTCTCCCCGCTTCACATGCTTACCCCCCTTATGTCAGTGCCATCCTTGCATGAATCTCGGCATGTCCCACAAATTGATAATCTTCAGTTATCTACTTGCTGTTTTGAATACTTTGCAGGTCCTGTATGCTCGCCGACGCGTGGCACGGTGCTGACAGGAAGGAACCACAATCGCTACTGTGTTTGGACGGCCAACGCTGGTGGTGGAACTGCTGACTTTGTTCGCCAGGAGAAGATGCCACTACCATACTATGAGTATACGATCCCCGAGGCCGTCAAGTCCCGGGGATATACCTCGGCAATGTTTGGGAAATGGTGAGGAACAACCGTAATCTGTCCAAGAGTGTGTGTGTGTGTGTGTGTGTGTGTGTGTGTGTGTGTGTTTGTGTGTGTGTGTGCGCGCGGTGTGTATGACTGTGGTGCCGAAACCCGGGAACGAACGCTAACAGTCAGTTGAGGAACTGGAAACTGGAGTTGTGTGACAGTACGAGTACTGGTCATCATGTCAGTGAAACTGGAAGGTTTTGTGAAGCCCTACAGAGGTAGGCAAGAGGAGTCATGGGACACCTTCTGGGAAAAGTTCGTAGTATTGGCAGCTGATAAACCTGTCCACGGCAGTGGCCCTGCTGTCACCAACTTGACTCCATTGTAAAGAAGACATTGCATACTTGTACAAGTATGCGGACTGAACTTTAATCCAAGTTTGCAAAGTTTTTCCCTGTGTTTCCTCTCCCCAGGCACCTTGGCGACTTTAAAGTTCTGAAAGGAGGCAATCCGAAATGGCCAGTAAGTCTCTGCCAAAGAGAACATGATTGCTTTCTTCCTACCCGACTTGCAAGTACTTGTGAAGGCCATTGGGGACCATTGTTTGTGGACCAAGCTTCTTTGTCAGCTTTCCTGGTGGTTATGTGCTTTTCAAGTAAACAAAAAGCCAGTTGAAGTGTTCGTTCTAATCTCATATGAAAGCAGCAGTGCACGAGAACTACACGCGTGGCAAGGCCAGTGGTTTATCCGATATTCCTTCATGCATGTGTTGCTTGTAGATCTCACACCCTGGCATACACGGCTTTGACATCTGGCATGCAACGGAGCGCTCTGCACCCACTGCAACGACAAACTGCGGCTGCTTCTCCCCGCCGAACTGCATATCCGGTCATTGGAATCAGAACTTCTCCTGCACAAACTTCTGGACAGCAAATCCCAGCAATTCAAGGTAGAGTTGAACTGCACAGGTCCGGGCATTCCCCAGATCCAGCCACTCCCCAGATCCGGGCACTCCCCAGATCCTGGCACTCCCCAGATCCTGGCACTCCCAGATCCGGGCACTCCCCAGATCCTGGCACTCCCCGATCCGGGCACTCCCCAGATCACGACAATCCCCAGATCCTGGCACTCCCCCGATCTAGACTCCCCAGATCCTGCCACTCCCCTGATCCGGGCACTCCCCAGATCCTGGCACTCCCCAGATCCTGGCACTCCCTCGATCTAGGCACTTCCCAGATCTAGGCACTCCCATCTACCAGGCACCTTTCTAACCCTTCTAGAGGCGCGGAAATTGCCATTCAACAAACAAAAAACGGCGCTAAATAACTATATTGCCCTCATGCTAAACCTGAATGCTGAATCAGAATTGTATATTCTGAGCTGCAGGAAATTCCTAGTTCCGGGCTATGCTTAGTCTCAACATGGCCGGAAAAGGTGAGTTCTACTGCGAATGCCTGCATCCTCATTTTGAATCAGTAGAAAAGCCAAACTGACTTCCTATTCCCTAGCCCGTTCAGCTTGACCACCACCAACACCACCAACACTACCCAATACAGTGCAACCAACAACATCAGCATCACCGCCTAGCTAGAGAGGTTATGCGATTGCATCATCAGTTGAGATGCTTTGGCAAAGCCGCGGACCCGTGGTACAGCGCTGGACTTGCACTAGCGACTCACGCTGCATACTTAACACCCATCTGAAAGTCTGCTGACTCATGCCGTATACTTAGCGCCCATTGGAGATTCCGCTGACCCACCCCCATGAAATCATTCGCAAAACCTCTATACCACCAGCATCACCCCCCCCCCCCCCCACCACCACCACCGACTGCACCCTCCCCCCCCCCCCCCCCCATCACCACCATCGACTGCATCAGCACTACCGCCACCGCCACCACCATGAGTCTCAGTGTACTGTTTTTCTCTTTGCAATTTGGCTACACAGCAATATTATGAACCTGACAACGCCAGAGCCTGGTGATGACAGTCTGTTCATCATGGACATGGTCGAGCCTTTCCTGCGTGGAATAGCTCAGGACAAGAAACCATTCTTTCTTTATATACCCGTGCACACCGGTGAGAGGATATTATAACTAGTATGAGAATACATGAGACATTGTGAGTGTGTTAATGCATGAATGTAAATGAGAGTGTATGAGCCTTATGTGTGTGCATGTGTACACATATTATGTGCTTGTGTGTGTGTGTGTGTGTGTGTGTGTGTGTGTGTGTGTATGTGTGTGCATGTGTGTGTGTGTGTGTGTGTGTGTGTGTGCATGTGTGTGTGTGTGTGTGTGTGTGTGTGTGTGTGTGTGTGTGTGTGTGTGCGTGTTGTGTGTGCGTGTTGTGTGTGTGTGTTGTGTGTTGTGTGTGTGTGTGTATGTGTGCATGTGCATGTGAGCCGTATGTGTATGTATGCATGGTACATGTGAAAGCCACTTCAATCTGGTGAAGACAAGGTTAAAATTAATGGCGGCCAATCAACTTTGTAAGCTGCAAAATGGTTTAGGACAAGTTGCTTTGTCTCAGTGCAGCTTGTTTCCCTACCATCGCTTAGGCGATGGGCATGTGCGATACAAAAAATGCACATGCGGATATTTATGTGCGTGTGTGTGTGTGCGTGTGTGTATGTATGTATGTATGTATGTATATGAGCAAGTACAAGTGTGTGTGTGTGTGTATGTGTGTATGTGTGTGAGTGAGTGTGACGGTGTGTGATGGTGCGTGTGTGTGTCTAGTGCACATTAACTACATTGCCGTTGAGCCTTACCGCAGCAAGTACCAGAAACTTGGCTATGACAGCCAGACAGTGGACTACCTCGGTGCAATCGAAGCTATGGATGTCCAGGTAGACGGTTTGAAGATACTGTACTGGCTTTCCTACTTTGTTTAAAATGTCTGTTTTCGCTTTTCCTTTAATATGGATCATTTTCTAGATATCGAGTGAATTTTGGAAGAGACATCTTTTGTTTGGTTGAGTGTAAATCGTAAAAGTAGACGACCACAAAGCATCAGCATGACAGATCTCTAAGGGCGATGGGAACCTGTTCAAGTCATTTCCAGCTACAGCTTCAAAGCAAAGTACATTTGAGGCCACATCACGGACTGTGGACACATATTATGTAGGTTGTGGTAGAGAGATTGGGAGAGAGATTGGGAGAGAGATTGGGGGAGAGATTGGGGGAGAGATTGGGAGAGAGATTGGGGGAGAGATTGGGGGAGAGATTGGGAGAGAGGGGATCACACAGTGTATCCACTGCTTACACAAAACATTTTAGTGCACAGTATGTCATCTCGACGAAACTGCAACCCATGCCATTAAAACCGAACGAGTTCACTCTGTGCGCACAGGTTGGCCGTTTGAGATCATTGCTTCAAGAACTGAATCTGGCTAACAACACACTGCTCTGGTTTGCTAGGTAAGGCCGCAATGTGAGATTAACAGTACTCGTGTTGTGCCCATGTCCACCTCCTGTGCCCAGAAACCCCACATGCAGCAGATGTGCTCAAAGACATCATATCTATGTCAATTGTTAACACCTCCATTTTGTTAAAAATAGAAGCATTGTGTATGTGATAGGTTCCTCAGGTTACCGTAGCAACGGAACTTCCCGTGCACTCGATCTCACATTTGCTCAGTCTCTTTCACAGTGTCTCCCTTGTGGACTGTCGTCTCTGGGTCTGCCTCTCCCTTGCCATTCGGAATTTCCCCAGATGTTCTTCTGCTGCATACATGCATATTGGAATGTATGCCAAGGAACGCCTTACTTTAGACCACAATTTTAGTCCATGTTTGCTTCAGGCTTTCTTCTTCTCCTTTTCTTTTTGACTTCTTACTCTTTTCCTTGTTAGCCGTGGTTGGCTATAAAAACCCTGCAATCGCCACGCAAAGTGGTCATTGGCTACCCCAGCCATGTATTGCTTGGAATAAAATTAAAAAAAATGCCAGAGCTAAGGCACAATCCGTTCCCATGCTGTAGATCGTAGATTTCCACCAACCACAGAACGCGGCAATGGGCGATGCTTGTTGCTGTCGTTTTCGTTGTTTGCTTGTTTGTTTGTTTTGTAGCAGCGCCTTTGCTGCACTCACCTTCAAATACATGGCAATCATTGACAGTACAGTGTTGCCTAGCGACCCCCTCCCCTGAATAAAGCAGCGTCATGCATACACCTGATCGAATCACTAAAAGCAAAGCTCGCAAGCAAGTAGAGGAATTTAACGAGATGTTTAATGTGTGCTTTAAAAAATTAGGAAAATGCCTCCTTCTCCTTTTCAGTGACAACGGACCTGCTAAAGGCACACCGGGCTCCACCAATGGTCTCCGTGGCCGGAAGGGAACGGTTTACGAGGGCGGTGTGCGAGTGCCGGGGATCATCGAGTGGCCGAACGTGATCAGCGAGAATCGCGTTGTGGATGCGCCGATCGTATCCAGTGACCTGATGCCGACCATCATGGACATCCTAAAGCTGGAGATGCCCGATAACGTAAGGTCCATGTGAAGCTATTAATGACACCTTGCCTTGCACATGACCACGACATGCTGTAGGAGAGCTGGCAGTAGCCCCTTATCACATAGTGGATAGCAGCACATCATGAGTTGGCACAAAGCAATGTAGTCAGTGCCATTGGAACATTAGGTGTACAGTCGTCCCTCTCTAAGGGACCATCGCAAAAGTTCGCAGAAGCCCCCGAAACGAAGACCGTGAGTTTCGGGCCTGACCCCCCTCCCTCCCCCCTCAAACGAAACGACAGTCACAATAGGGCTTCATTTTTTCACTTGGATGCTCACACATAATAATTATTATAATACTACACAAGCATTGTTGTATCAGTGTGTAAAAATGTACAGCACTTTATAAATGCAACGATGATATCACCTTGCAGTGGGTGATCTAAGAACGAGAACAGCTAGAGCTATGCAGTTGTATCCTTTGAGCATTACATGTACAATGAACGTTGATTGGTGTATATTGCTTTCACATTCCCCATACGCGTCCTGACAAGCGATCTACGCCGGCTGTGATGGCATGCTAATCCTACAGCTCCTATAATTATGTCGTCAATACTTTTTTGAATTGAAGCCCGGTTTGCGATTTTCGCACCGACTCCCTCCCCCCCCCCCCCCCAAACGTATGCTCTTCGTTTCAGGGGCTTCTGCGAACTTTTGCGATGGTCCCTAATCCGGCACTTGTTTATCCGGAACCCTTGCCAACCGGCGCACTTTCTGACGAAACCGATTTTTTTCGTTCAATTACTACATCTTAATCCGGCACTTGAATTCCGCCTCCGGCAGTGACTTTTTGAAACGAATCGCTCAAACCGCACGTAGTTTGATTTCATAATCCGGCAGTCGTAAATCACGTACCGTACAGGTGCACTCCTTGCCAGGCCAGGCTAGGCCAGTCTGGTCAATGTTGTCCAGGAGACAACGGCAGTCAACCATACTTTTTTATTTTAGCAAGGGGTAGTGTCCTGCCAATTTTCAGGTGTGTGTGTGTGTGTGTGTGCGTGTGTGTGCAAGAGCACATGTGAACATGTTCTCTGTTTTACTTTATCACTTTATCACTGTGTATATTCCCGGAGAACAATTGAGAATATAAAGCCGTGCACCAAATACTTGGGTCGACACGGAAAAACCCTGCGTTTTGACGTACATATGATACATGCATGCAATTGGGTAGGGCCGGGTCAGAGGGCAGGATTTCTTAATCCAGCACCCTCGTTAATCCAGCAGAAAACGCCGTAGCAAAAGGTGCCGGATTAGAGAGGGACGACTGTAGTGGATTGCAGAAGTGAGAGCAGGAATACCGAGCCTTGGACTCCTCACACACACACACACACACACACACACACACACACACACACACACACACACACACACACACACACACACACACACACACACACACACACACACACACACACACACACACACACACACACACATGCATGCATATTCACACACGCACACACACACACAAACACACATGTGCGCTGGAATATTGCAAGAAGTCACTTATTTTATTAATTATTAAAACGTCAATGTTTGATTTCTACTTGACTGGTTGTAATGTTGGTATGGTTTGCCTAAGCAGCGCACCGTGGATGGAGAGTCAATCATGAACATCATCACTGGCAATGAAGTCAATCGATCCAAGCCAATAGGTTTCATGTTTTCCGTGAAGCACCAGTTTAACAGCAGCTACAATGCCACTTGGGTCAATAACCAGGTATGTGTATGTGTGTGTGTGTGTGTGTGTGTGTGTTTGTGTGTGTGTGTGCGTGCATGTATGGGTGTGTGTATGTCAGTGCATGCGAGTATGTGTCACGTTGGCAGCCTGTACGAGAACAACGAGACATGATCAGACCTTGCTTGACCGCACACCTTTGTTTTTCATGAAAATATCGAGATAAGCGCGGGTTACGAATAACGTCACCCACATAAGCAATGGGACTAAAGTGCAGATAACTTGTGTGAGTTCCCGGCATGTAAAGGGGCATATATCAAGAGTAGCAAGAGGACGGGACTTGGCTGAAAACGTGTTACAACGTACATGCATTCCACGTGTTTCCTGACCATCTGCTCCAGAGCACCACTGTTCTACCGGTCGGTGAAGCAGCCAGATGAAAGCATGACTGTACTGGTGATGTCGTATTGCACTGAGTACTGATTTCTACATGACCTGACTGTACTGGTGATGTCTTAATGCACTGAGTACTGATTTCTACATGACATGACTGTACTGATTGACATGCACATGGTGACATGGTGCCAAAAACATAGAATTTTCTTTCATCTTTCATCAGATGCTCGTGAGTATATTGTTGAATGTACACCGCGATTTGACACTGAGGATATATGGGCGAAGTGGTGGCCCGCCGATGCGAATGTATTTTGCTTGATGTGTTCCTGAACACGTCAGGTGATGCGGCCGCGAATCCGGCTAACGTTACTGTACACCGCGCACATTTTTCATCCACTATATATACATGTAGATGCATTGTATGTAGATGCATTGGGGATGTGCTTGTACATGTATGCCAGTGTCGACGTGTCTGCACATTCTCTGCTGTGCCTCACTGTCCTGCACAGTACAAGCTGTTCATGAACATGAAAAATGGCGTGCCCCACAACGCCATACTCTACGACCTTCTCGATGACATTGCAGAGAGAAAGGACGTGTCCAAGAAGCACCCCGACGTCTTCAGCGCGATGAAAGACCAGTTCAAGACCTGGTTTGACTCGGTCCAGTACTCCACCAAGCATGAGTCTGGTTGCTATGGCATCTCCGTGGCGGATGGTGAATCCGAGGCATGGTATGAGTGGTACTAGACAAGAAGGCAAGATGATGAATGTAGCTGGAGTGCCCGAGTGCATGTGAAGGAGCACAGTGTCCTGTGACTTTAAAATTTTGACTGCTCCCCGTCTTTATCATTTTTGTAGCTTTGTATTATTTTTATAAATAATAATAATATTATCCTGAAATTTCTTTGAGAAGAACGAGAATAATGTGTCACAGGTTATGAGTAACTATCCACCAGACACTGTACTGTCAGAACTTGCAACAAGGCACAACACTGACAGGGTACGGGGACATTTAATGATTGGCAAACATTACCAATCTCCTAATCCATCAGCATTATCTTACGATGCGTTCTGCTTCTTTAGCATGATCATTCGTGCATGATCAGTATTCTACAAACAACTTGCCGCTGATCATCCGTTTTTCATCTGTTGGCAACCAGTGGCATGAGATTCTAGGTCACTCATTCAATTTGAAAGCGATTTCTGGTTGTGAATGTTGGGGATGGACATTGAACTGATTTCAAGTTTGACTGTGGAAGTTGACATGGGATAAGGTGCTTGGAAGCGAGCATGATGCTGAACAATGAATGATGGCTAGCACAGTGTACCACTTTCACAGTCTTTGATAAGTTAGTCACAACCACCAACCACAGCGAACAACTGTAGCCTGCCCATTGAGCGTCTCAAAGAGCTTACAGCATGTATACTGGAAGGACTAATATTAAAATGAGAGAATGTTTCACAATCTAGAGATAAGAATGGACCTAAAACTAAAGGTATGATGCCTCACAACACTTGTGGTCAGCAGTATGCTCCCTGGTACAGGTAGCAGAATTGAAATCGAAATTGAAATAAAATATCTGAAATTTCAAAAAGATGTTCCTACTAAATTGCCTATCAGTGAACTAGACTAGAGCTGTGGAAAAATAAAAGAATTTTTGAGCGAAAATCAATTGAGTTGTGGCGGTTAGCCAAACATGCTTTTGGCTATGAGCCTACATATCTTAGGGCAACACACCAAGTATAAAAGATGAGAAGCTATCTGAATGGGCAGATTCACAATATTGCTATTCAATACCTAGAACAAGATAACATTGTGTGATACGTACACCTCCCCTGTGAGACAATGCCTCAACTGATCGGGGAGGCGGAGAGAAGGAAGGAGGAAAGGGAGGGAAGGAGAAGGGGAGTGGATGGGTGTAGTATGGGAGAGGGGGGGGGGGGGGGGTAGAGGGTTGGAGGACGGGGAGGTGATGAGGATGGGCTGAGGGGAGGAGGATGAGATAAGGACGGCGAGGGGAGGGGAGGAAGACGCTGTAGCCTAGTATAGGGGAGAGGAGGAGGACACTAAAGAGGAGGAGGATGGGATTGCAAAATGGCATGAAAGATGCATTCTAATAATGTCACAAGCGAGGCACCCCACCGACGGAAGAGTACTCCATGCAGTCAAGCAGTGTTTACGCATACAACAGGGAGAAAGGAATAGTGGCATCAGATAACCGAGTACTAGTCAAATGCCGTTGTGAGTTGTGAGTTTACCAGAAACATGTACACGTGACATCCATTTTGTACATGTTACTACGGCTACTACGACTACTACGCAGTGAAGAGTAGCGGCACATGTAGCAACAAAATGTGGGCGCTGTGGAATACGAGGGACGTGTGAGCTGCCGGGATGCGATTGACAGAACACACGCATGGTGAAGAGTTTCTTGATTCGGGATGACGGGATGCCCAAGGCAATACACTCAAACCTGGGGGCTGTGTAGAGAAACCGTCTGGACGATCTTCCATGGCAATAAGCCGGCTACAAGCAACATCCGCCGGAATGCAGCCATTGAGCCATAGTGACTGGCCCTTTTGTTTATCCCGGGAGCCGGTTGGGTAGATTGCAAGCGGTTTGTGCGTCCTAGCTTGGAGCATCAAATGTAAATGTCAAGATATCAGGAACCTGGATGCATACAGGGAAAAATGCATAACAAACACAAATCCAATGAAGCGTGAACTATCCACAGCTGAAACCGCCTGGTATGAGTTTCTGATTTTCTGATTTTTTTTTAAGTGAAAGAGACTTGCCAGCTCTGAGTCATGACTTTTGGATCCACTTGGATCCATGTTTTGAATGGATCTATATGTATACACATCCGGGTGGTTTCCTTCACAGTAGAGTGACACATCTGCCGGTAGCGACTTGACGAGGCCCTCCCAGTCAGGAACCCACTTCCGCTATGGAAAAATCCACACCTGTAAGGCACACGAGTGGCCTACCCACCACGCCCTGCACTTTGCTATGGGCAGAGCGGATCCAGAAGTCGTTATTTGTCGTTATTTTTTTACTTCTGACTTCATCCCTTTCAAGCCCTTATGGAATTGTCCTGGCTATGGTGGTGCTGTGTTAGCATAGCCTATACGTGCACAGGTTGAGAGCATGTACTGGTGGAGTGTGGAGATCAGTTGATGGTTACAGAACGGCCGATGCTGTTGCCGATTTCTCTCGTCACTTATTTACCGTTGGAATAAAGTCACTATGCTAATTCTTGCATCGTTGTGCCAGTGGCTGTGAGACTTATCCCCTCACTCCCACCATCAGGTGCTGCATCCGCCGCTAGGGTTTAGCGGGTGTTAGCGGCCGTCGTGAGTTCCCTTCGGGAACGGACACGATAAATCACTTTACTTTAACCCTTTACCAGCAGCCCCATACTTGAATGCGTCAACGTTGACGCATTCGACATGCATACAAAACCATGCCTGGCATGATGTGAAGCATCAGCCCACGGGGATTTCCCGTGGCCCTCACACAGCCAAGGTATGATCCTATCGGCAGCTGAAGAGATCCACGCGTGTCCCATTTGATTTCATTGAGAACTGCGCGATCGAAAACTTACGGAAATACACGCGCGCCGACAATGCCGTCCGCCTCCATCAAAACACCGTCAGGTGCATTTTCTCTTGCGCAGTGAGTTCCTATCGTCCTCGGATGACTTCTCCGACGAGGACCTAGCAGTCATTCGCTCTGTGACCGACGACAGACAGATAAATACTTCGTTCCAGCCGCCGATGCAAGCGAATTTCAAATTACGGAGCGGGGGGCACGCCAAGTAAATTCTCACGCAAATATGGGGAGCGCCAGCCACTGAAGACGATGTCGTCGTGATGTACCTGGAAGAAGCTGATGGTGCTTCTGGTGGGGAAGCCATGGAGAGCGATCCCCGTGTCGACAGTCTCCCAGAGATGGAATTTAGGCCATCGACTTTCTACGTACCTGAGTGAGAGCAGCGCAGCGCGGCGTGCGTGCGACCGTACGGAGCTTTCCGACAACGATTCTGGGGCGATGCTGCTCTCATTTGCGAGCGAGGCATGGCCACTGAAGTTTGTGATGGCTATGGCTAGTGTTGAAACGATCTCACCGGATACTCGTTAGCTCGCTCGCCAGAAACTCGGCTCGTTTGTTCGGCCAGCTCGTTTGCACTAACGAACACCGTACACCGTACTCCGTACACATGGCAGTACATGCGGGGGTCGTAAAAATATTTACGACTCCCTGGTCGATCGAGAGTCCAGTCCCGATCCCGCGCAAAGTGAAAATCACTCGCAGTTACAGGTGACTGTATGCCTGCACTACACTTGAGTTGTTTCAGTTGTCGTTGCAGCTTTGGTGGACTCTACTGATGTCTTGTTCCGCATCTGCTGACCTGTCGCAGGATATGCTTCGGTCACCTCTCCATTCGAGTGAAAGTTACGCTCAGTCGTTTGGAAGTTTTCTCCCGCGATGCAGCGAAGACTAGGGCTACTTGCAATCTTTGCAAAACGGTCTATTCTTACAAAGGCTAATCAACGACGGCGCTGAAAAGACATCTCGACACCAAACAGCAGTCCGAAGTGAAGCAGCAGCAACCCCAAATGCCGGCGGTGATAATTTGAACCAGCTGAAAAAAATCGAACTTAGAAAAAAAATTATTCAAAAAAATAATCATAATTATTTGCCACATCAATGAAACTCGTTAGCTCGCTCGATAGCTTGCTCGTTAGTGGAACTGATCGCTCGTTTGTTATAGATACGCTCGTTTCAACACTAGCTATGGCGTTTGTTTCCGCTCCCAAGTCGACTTGTTTTGGCAGTATCATGTCAATGTCGGAACTCTGACGATTTGCATGTGTACAATTTCCGTGTTTAGACGTAGAGGTGCCAATTTAGCAGCGTATGTGTGTGGTATGAGAAAATAATTTTTTCCATGGTCAAGAAGTAGTACTAGACTTCCAATAAAACATAACTTGCACGTACAAAATGTGGCCTCGTTGTGAGTTATTGGCATCCTTCTAAATGTTATGGATTTCACATACAAAACTTGCCGGTAAAGGGTTAATTTAGGGTAAAAAGGAGAAGGACAAAAATGAGTTATGACTAACTCTCCATCAACGTAATGAGATAATGTACAGTCAGCGAGTGCGACAACATGGCTTTACTTTACGTTAGGCTTTACAGCACAGTCTTACCTGGTCCTGATGCCTGCTGATCTGACAAGGCAGAATCTGGTGCAGAATTGGACTGATGACGTACACGAGCCAACGAATCGAAATCAAATTGTTCATCAGGCAATGCGTCCTCCGACACCGTATCAGCAGAGGCAACAGCGGCAGCTGTGGTGGGTTGGGGTGCAGGCGCATCCACATCCACAAGTAGTTGCATCCCCTCCCGTGCAGCAGGTGGAGATTCATGAGTGCTTCTGGATACGTCAGGCAAATTTCGGGCAGGTTCTGTGTTGCGTCTTGGCCGTGGACGCCCTCCTGGTGGCAATGGCCGTGGAAGAATTGAACCAGAGTCACTTCGCAGTCTCTGCAAGTGACCACCTGTGTAGCAGTGAAAGCATGGTGAGGGTGAATAGAAAAAAACACTTGATTTAAAAAGCGTTATACACAGTATTAGTGCTGCACAGACATTACCATGCAACCCCCCCCCCCCCCCCCCCCACCATGCAACCCCCCCCCCCACCATGCAAGTTTACGCGTTTACAGTTAAAAGGTGTTTAATTCCCGAATGGATTTTCTGTTCGTAGCGTTAATTTCTTTTTTGTCTTCTCGAAGATTGTTTGAATTAATAACTAAGAACAATACAGCAAAACCTGCAACCAAAGACTGGCACCGTGACTAGCGACCACCGTGACTAACGACCACCGTGACTAACGACCAGCCTGGTTCTACCGACCACCGTGACTAGCGACCACCGTGACTAGCGACCACCGTGACTAGCGACCAGCCTGGTTCTACCGACCACCGTGACTAGCGACCACCGTGACTAACGACCACCGTGACTAGCGACCACCGTGACTAACGACCACCGTGACTAGCGACCACCGTGACTAGCGACCACCGTGACTAACGACCACCGTGACTAGCGACCACCGTGACTAACGACCACCGTGACTAACGACCACCGTGACTAGCGACCACCGTGACTAGCGACCACCGTGACTAACGACCACCGTGACTAACGACCACCGTGACTAGCGACCACCGTGACTAGCGACCACCGTGACTAACGACCACCGTGACTAACGACCACCGTGACTAACGACCACCGTGACTAACGACCACCGTGACTAGCGACCACCGTGACTAGCGACCACCGTGACTAACGACCACCGTGACTAACGACCACCGTGACTAACGACCACCGTGACTAACGACCACCGTGACTAACGACCACCGTGACTAACGACCACCGTGACTAGCGACCACCGTGACTAACGACCACCGTGACTAACGACCACCGTGACTAACGACCACCGTGACTAACGACCACCGTGACTAACGACCACCGTGACTAGCGACCACCGTGACTAGCGACCACCGTGACTAGCGACCACCGTGACTAGCGACCACCGTGACTAGCGACCAGCCTGGTACTACAGACCACTTCGCCAGGCACGGACACTCTCACATGATTCAAAATGCACTGTGGCTATCGACCAGCTGCTCGGCACGTCCAGTGGCTGCCTTTCCCGTAACTAGAGACCGCGATGTAGGAAATCAAAGGTTGTTCAAAGCTCCTTCTTTGAAGTGTTTATGATCGCCCATGGTCCTGAATGGACTTTTTTTGATATTGCAACTGAAAAAATGAACGCAGGTTCATTTGTTTGTGGACTGCACTGCACTTGTCATGGTTTCAAGTGCTTTCAAGAACGAGCATGATAGGAAATGTCTTTGAGAGAGCATCAAAAGTGCTCTCTGATCGATATTACTGCTTTATAGGAGAAACTAAGACTGAGCTGCTTAGTTGAAGTGCAATCACACACCTCAGTCACACAGATGAACACTGTATTGCTAGCATGCTACGGTAAGCTGCAGCCTTGCTTGGCAACCCCCCCCCCCCCCTCCCTTCTACTTCTGCAGGCAACAGTTTTTGCGGAGAGTTTGCAGAAATACTAGTAGCACAAGTGCTACTTTGCAACCTGTGCTGTACAGAACTGACACAGATGCACTCTCTATATCTATATTTCCACACAAGCTGCTTTTAAAAGTAAGCCTGAGGTCATTTGGCAGCAACACAATAACCCTAGCAACACAATAACCCTAGCAACACAATAACCCTAGCAACACAATAACCCGAGTCATTTGCAGTATGGAAAACACATTTTAATGTGTTTTCTATACTAATTTTTTTCAGATCATACTAATTAGGAAATGTCAGTTTATCATGCCTCTCATCAGCACGCAGTGAGCTACTGCACGAATGTGCTCAATGCCTCTCGACTAGAACAATGTACTTCAAAAGTAGCTGGGTAGCAGTTCAGTGAAACCCTCCTCAGATTTCACTGCCTGATGGCTGAGGGCAGTGCATTAAATTTTGACTCGGGGGGGGGGGGGGGGGGGGCAAATACAGTGTGAAATGTCTAGCTTGTAGACACTTTGGGCAATGGGCACAATGTTTGACCAGTGAATACTGATGTGTCCTGAGCTGCCGGGTTATGCAATGCACATTGACTGTGACCAGTTAGGACTGGACAAATGTGTTCTGAGTACGCATGTGTGTTTTAGTTGAGAGGTGTCTTCAACATCGACTGCAAATACTTTCCGAATAACGATTGGATGTTTTCACTCAACTGTTATATTAGAAGAGGTTGTCACTGCCTTGTCAGATATGATACTAATGTAGACATACCTGGTTGAGAGTCTTCCGCTCTCACCCCCGCTGGTGATCCTGCATTATTTGGATGCATTTGCGGAATACCTCCTGGAGCAGATCCAGTGCTGGGAAGTACCACAGGTGTAGGAGCTGGAGACGGTGTTGTAATCTGCCGAGACTCGGTTGATTTTGATGGATTTCTTGCAATGGCATCTGCTGGCCTGTTGCTTGGATGGTTTATTGGTGGTTGTGGGTTTTCCTCTCCCACGGGCCTAGATGTTGGCGTTCTAATCTGAGCCCCACCAGGCATGCTCGGTGGAAGGCTTTGTGTGATGTCCACGCTCCGCTGCTCAGACTGTCTCCATTTCTGGCCTGCACCGGCATATCCAATTTCCACGGACTGCGAATGGTGCAATGCTGGTGATCCTGCAACATTCGGATGCATTCGCGGAATACCTCTTGGAGTAGATCCAGTGTTAGTAGGTGTCACAGGTGTAGGAGCTGGAGACGGTGTTGAAATCTGCCAAGACTCGGTTGATTTTGATGGATTTCTTGCAATGGCATCTGATGGCCTGTTGCTTGGATGGTTTATTGGTGGTTGTGGGTTTTCCTCTCCCACGGGCCTAGATGTTGGCGTTCGAATCTGAGCCCCACCAGACATGCTCGGTGGAAGGCTTTGTGTGATGTCAACGCTGCGCTGCTCTGACAGGCTCCGAATCTGGCCCGCACCTGTATGTCTAGCATCCATGGATAGCGAATGGGGCAATGCTGTTGGACGTGCGGAATTCGGAGGCACATGCGGAATACCTCCGGGAGTAGATCCAGTGCTGGTAGGTGTCACAGGTGTACGAGCTGGAGACGGCGTTGTAATCTGCCGAGACTTGGTTGAATCTGATAGAGTTCTTGCAATGGGATTCCTACGCTCGTGTTGAACCGGCGTCCCATTCCGACTTGCATTCAGGCTAGACGAATTCGAAGAGCTGCCACTTGCTTGCTCCTGACTACGTACCTCTGGCTGCCTTGCAGAGCTATTCAAGTCTAGATCGGATGGTTTTGGTAAGGATCTTGTCGTGTGTGTACATGAAGCTGGATTTGAACGGTGCGATGCGCTATCATTGTGACTAGCGGTGGATTGTAGTTGCCTGTTGCTTGCGAAACTGGAATTATTTTCAACCGATGGTGCAGAGAGTTTTCCACTCCACTTGGAGGAACCTGTTTGAAAGTCATAATAGGTACAACCACCCGGCGCATGCTGAACCTCTATGCACAGTCTTGGTGGATCCATCATACCATCTTCTTCTGGCTTAAGGCACCACCCTGTACTGTGGGTAGTACAAAGGTGACCTACACCAGGTCCATCCATATGGGCATGGTAGTGTTTGCAATAATTATCCCGCTCCTTGCAGTTTGGTATGACGCACTTCATTCCACAGCCTTGATTTTCACTGCATGCGTGACGTCGAGCCTTGCCGTTTTCCTCGTGCCCTCTGCCCACCTTCAGGTGGCAGCTCTTGGACTCCTCGCGAGGGTGTGACATGCAAGCCTCCCGACATCGATGTTTGTTCTCGTCCTTGCAGTCATGTTCACGGGGTTCATGCCAGCGACGCTTCGCACAGTCACTACTGTGATAGCCCGGGTAGCCGTCCAGGTCTGCAGTACTGGAGTTTTCGTCACAGGGCTCCATGCATCGGAGTTCACACTTGAAGTAGTGATGTTCCTTGGTGTCCGTATTCAGCTGTTTCGAGTAGTAGCCTTTGCCGACCATGTCCTGGCCATTGGGTTTCATCGGGTCATGTAGCAGGTCACCAGAGCAGAATTTAGGACATTGCTCGCTATTGTCAGTCTTAGTGACCTCTACATACTCAGCCATGTGCTCATGGGCCTTGACAGGACATAGCGCTGAGCAACGGTTGTACTCATCCACGACACTAGCATCGCTCGGATCAACGACGGGCATTGTTTCCTTCCAGAATAGGCTGTGCCCTATCTCAATGTAGTCCTCCTCCTCGCACCAATCCCGCCAGAGACCTGGCTCTAGCCGTTGTTTTCGGATGATATGTGTATGGCTGGGTCCGGCTTTGGAGCACAGACCTTTACAGTCCACCGTGTTAGCGGGTATGGTGAAGACGTAGCCATGTTCACGATTCCACACTCGTTGAGGCTGGTTGACTTTGCCGTGCTGTTCCACTTTGCACCGTCCTGCATGGCCATACATTCTGTTGCAAGGCTCATTACAAAGAGAGCACCGCGTTGTGCAGTAATGCTCCTTTTTGGGTTTACCGCAGCTGTGCTTATTGCAGACTATACCATCTGGTGGGATCTTGTTGGAGCACGGTTTCCGGTAGCTGCAATCGGTCTGGTGTTGTGAAGAAGATGCTGACAGCTGTCCTTTGCTAGAGCTAGCTTGGTCCACACAAGGTGCATCGTAGCACCTGCCGGGAACAGTGCACACCGCCTTGCACTCGTGTTCCGTGCTGCCACACAGGTGTGCATGATTCTCACGTTGAGCTCCGTAGTGGCAGTACCCGCCACCATCAACGGTGTACTTCCGACAGCCAGCGTGATCGCTCAGCTCACACAGCTCCCTGCATTCGTGATCGACAGGTTTCTTGCTGCAGGCGCACTGGTGGATGCCTGATCTGCTCGCGTGTCCTTTCAGATAACTGCACTGTCGGTCGCAGGTGTGATCGCGTGATGCTTTCCACAGATAGCATTCGCCGGGGCATTGGTGCTTCACCTCACCAGATGAACACAGGTGGCGGCGTCCTTCTTCACCTATGATCTGGAGATGATGGCCAATCGGCTTACGGCAGAAATCACCGTCGCCATCTTCTGTGCAGAGCGTGCATCGTAGATTGCATAGAGGGTGTCGTCCGTTCTTTCTTCCAATCAAGATGTCGCATGCCTGGTGATTATGGCCGTCTGGTAGCAGACAAGGCATGGAGAAGTTGTCACTGACATCTTGTCCAATATCTCTTAGGCAGAGCTTTTCGCCATTGGAGAGCAGATCAAGACGGTCCTCTGCACGCTGCAGGAATTGCCTTGAGCGCCGGTCAACCCGTTCAAAACTTTTGGCCCACATTGCAAGCCAGTCTTCACCCAACTTTCTGCGAGCCTTCACTTGTTCTCCGTGCTCCTGACTAATCTTCTGTTTGAACTCGGCCATGGTTGCAGAGCTCTCCGACAACTCGGTTGCCAACCGCCGCAGTTGTTCCAGGTCACGCTCGGTCAGGTCTTGTTTGTGCCAGGCACGATTCTCAAACTTGAACGGGATGCACGTCGCTGGCTGATAATGCCCAGCCAATGGCATGGCAATGCCATCACTGGTAGCACCCGGTTGCAGCCTGCCTCCAGTTGTGATCAGTGTGTCCAGGTCGTTCAGCAGCGCCTCATACTGTTCAGATAGTGCTGCACTCAAGCGCAGCTGATCAGCACACTTCACCATGCTGCCCCTCTTGAACAGAAGAAGTCGTAGACAGTTGAGGAACTCCGCGCCGTGCCGCCATGTAGCCGTCTCTGGCTGCCGATCGCGGCGAGGCGTCAACAGCCACTTCATCATTTCACCCTTGGTCAATACGGCAATGCCAGCCTCTGGGGCCGGTTGCCTGGACTGGGACGGAGGTTGCCTGGATTGAGACGGAGGTTGCCTGGACTGGGACGGAGGCTGCCAGGACTGGGACGACGGAGACAACTCGTTGGTATCTTCCGTGGCCTCCGCTGCTGCCTCCACATCCGCTTCATTCCTCTGTTGACTGGTATTGGCATCCAAATTGTGCTCAGCAGCGTTGTCATTATAGTGCACAGGATAGGGTGCGACGTAGTCCTGCAGCTGGTCTAGATGTGCTCTTCCCGAGCTCAGTGGCACGCCGCCTGGCAGCTTGCCGGCATCCTTGCTCGGCTCACTGACCAGGAGCAGGTGTCCGGCAGGGAACGCAGCCTCCATACCGCGTCCCATGCACATGCGCTCCATCAGGTCCTTGACGGCCGGCTCAATCTTTTGTGCACTGGAGCGGTCTGCCTCGTCACACGTGATCACAGTGACATGCGCCAGCTTGTGGGCGACAACGAGTGCCGGGCATTCGTGCGGACTGCTCGGAGTACTTGCTCCGGTCGGCGTAGTCCGGCACACGGCGAAGAATAGCAGCAGCGTGCTGTGGTCAGCCATGACACGATAGCCCACGTGTATGCTGCATTCTGGGCACATCCCCTCAGGCCCGTCCGCAATGCGCTCAGCTTGGGCCGATGCACTGCAAGCCGTGTTTGTTGCAAACGCCATGCAGCCCATCTCGTTCAGAAGAGTGAGCGCTTTCTGAGAAGCTGAGCCGATGCCAGTGCATGTGAGCACTCTGACGTTGCCATGCCATGCCCGCAGCAGGCGCTCAAGCCTAGTCAGCCCACTGCTGCAATGCGGAAAGACGTTCTGTAAGCACGGGCCATTCAAGAGGATCTCACCACTGCGTGTACGCTGGGCGTACTGCCTCGTCTTGGCAGTGCGCGGCCACTCGGTTGCATCGGTTGCATGGGCCATGCCGACGTGTGCTGTGCCGTGCAACCCTGCTCCAGGGCTACGAACGGGATTCACGGTCTCGGAGACAATTCCTGAGGCTGAATGCACCCAGTAGCTGTCGACGGGCGGTGCTCGAGAGAGCAGCTGAGGGCATGTTTCCCGGAATGTTGAAAGTGTCTGGAAGCTACATGTAAGTTTGATCGCAACGTGGACATGGGTTGATGGTGTGCTGGTATCTGCTGTGCTGCTGGCGCTGCTGCTGGTGCTGCTGCTGGTGTTCTTGCTGCTTTTGCTTGTGGATCTGTCCGGATTAGACATGACCTCATCAGATTCAGACGTGAACAGGTTGTCAATCCAGAGTTGCATGACCTCCTTAACATTACTCTCCTCGAAGAACTGCTGAGAGACGTCGAATACACAATACAGGTTAAGTGGTGAAGTACTGTTGACGAATGGACCGTTCTTTGGAAACCTTTCCAAGCAATCATGGAGAAGTTGCAGGGGGTAGAAACAGTCGGATGGTTTGACAGGTGGAGTGGATGGCACTTCCTCTGGCTCCACTTCATCCTCGTAGATGGGCTTCGTGAACATTCCTTCACGGCGGTGTGTCTCGACACTGTCTGACTCTTCCACAGGTGGCCTCCTTCCTTCACGCCGATGTGTGTGTCTGCCCCGGAGTGCCTCAGCATTCAATTTGGCTTGCATCGCTTCTTGCCTCATGTTCTCTGTCTGTTTCTTGGAGAAGAAGCAGATGACCGTGTTGGCAGCCTCCAGTGCGGAGCGCAAGGAACAGCAGTTCCGCTCGTGCACGAAAGCGTCCTGGTCTTGCGTTCTGCTGTCAATCTCAGCACATCCGTCACTGTTGCGTTCATAGGAGCATGGCGATGCATTGTCCGGGTCGTCACTTGCACAGAGGGAAACCGCCAGGAGCACGAGGTCAGAGGGAGTGCTGGGCTCGTCCATTTTGTGTGGCTGTGGCAAGCCCTGGGGTGCGTGCTGGTGTAGCGCATACACACCTCCGCCCTGCGCATCGGCAATTAGCTTGCGCTGCTGCTGTGCCGCAGCCTCATTGTGTGCCGCGGCTGAACCTGACATGGATGTCTGCATCTGCTGCATTCCATTAAGCATACCGGGCACATCGCCACACAACGCCACTATACATGGCGGCACTGCTGTGGCACTGGCTTGGCCCGTCCGGTCACCTGGCGTTAGTTTAGCCTGGTGTGCATCGTGAGCGTGCATCAGCGACTGCTTCAGAGGTGAGAACGTCTGCTCCAACCGGATCTGTGAGCGGTCATCAACGATCAGCACGCTGTTCTCCGGTGACGCTTCTGCTGTTGCCGGGTTGCCAAAGGATCTGGCATGTATCCAGCGATACAATGTGGTACCTGCACGAGAAGGCACATGCACACCAACAAGCAACAATGTAATGAGCACTGATACTCATCTAATCTATGACACCTCATCTAATCTATGACACCTCATCTATAAAATAAAATAAAAAACAAAAACAGCATATGCACTGGGAAACCCGGCCATATATGCAGGTGCGTAGGAACCGGTGCGGCACGTCCGGCCAAAGCCGCACCAACATCTTGTGACTTTCGAAGCAACGAAATATGGGCTATTTGGGCCCAAATTTCCCTAAAATGTTCCCGGGGGGGGGGGGGGGGGGGGAGGAGGAGGAGGGAGGGAGGCCCACGGACCCCAACCTACTCATGCGGCCGTACCAATTTCGAATACCTTCCGGCGCCCCTGATATGTACTGGGAAATACAGCCCTATGCAGTGTGACGCCTGGAAAATACGGATGAGCAAAACTCAGCCGAATTGAGTCTCACGCCCTTTGTAATTTTCGGAACAGGAAATACGGTATATCTGGTCCTCTGGGTATCAGAATTGCAAGTGTCTGCGAGTACTGAGCTGCATCTCTGCCTTCATCTCTAAGGCTGGTGGCATTTGTTTTCGGCGGAGGAATTCCTTTTCTGTTCGGGAAAATTCATTTTCTGTGGGATGTGTTGGGGGGGGGGGGGTCAGGCTGGCTGACTCTCATGCGAAGTGTGGAATTTTATTAACATACGGTACATTTCTGATGACCGATGAGCGATAGATTGTTAATGTACGGTACGTTTCCAATGACCAATAAACATTACACTGTACGACTAAACGTAGGGTACGTTTCCGATGACAAAAGAGAGTTAGATTGCTTGTGTCTTGTTCAACCATTTCCTAGCCAAGGTGCTCACAGCAAAGATCATATTTATGAGTGTGTGTGTGTGTGTGTGTATATTTGTGAAAATGAACCATGCACACACACACACACACATGTACACACACACACACACATGTACACACACACACACACACGTACACACACACACACAAACACACACACACACACACACACACACACACACACACATACACACACACACATGCACGGCGACGTGTGCATAAAGTGACCTATGCAGACAATGAATGCAGACAACATCCCTTTATTACCTGTGGTAGAACTGTGTGTATTTGACTGGTGGAGTCGCAGGTTGTCATCAACATCCCTTGCTATGGCCTCAATGAGCTTCGCTTTGTGCCTCTCCAAGTCCTCGTTTCGTGCTAATTCTCTGAGAAGCATGACAAACATGTGGCAGTCTTCCAACTGGGAATCGTACGAATGCGTTTTCCCTGGCTCCATGTCATCCTTCAATGAGTTGAGCCACGTTAGAACAGAGCGTTCATCCTTGTTAACTTGTTTATCGAAGCATTGCTCCGCCGCATCATGTAGCTGGCTGGCATCATCGATGATCTGACTGATGATCGGAAATTTCCCAGATACAAGTTCGTCCCACGGGTCATAGTCATTGGGCAGTGACTCTGTTGGTGACTCCATCGGTGCAGTGCCATTGGCAGCACTTGCTTCTCTCCCGGGCACTGCCATTGCCTGTCACATTGCCAAGAAGTAGAAAATCCAACGTTACAAGATCACAACTGATTTGATATGTCTGACCGCCAAAATAGCTTCGATAAAGAATGTAAAAAATGTGCTGTGAGCAGTTGAACCAGACTGAAATGTAGGCAACGCAAGGGGCCTTCTTTATCACAAATTCGGCTGGACAAAAACCACTAGAAAGTTTCACCTGGTGGACACGCCGCTGTCATATCCATTGAATTGGATTTCATTTCATACCTATCACGGTGGGGATACCTAACACCACTGAAACGGTCTCTATCAGCCATGTGACCAGCAGCAGCTGAGAGTGCTAGTGTGTGTGTGTGCATGCACACCACCAGCGTACATTGTACCGCCGCCTGTCAGTGCATGTGGTACACACACCTGTACAGTGCTGCAAGAGAGAAAGCAAGTGTGAACTACTAGCATGGCAGCAGCACTCCCAACACTATCACACTACGCAAGCAACACTTGCCTCGTACTCTTGATAAGAGTTACTTGCCAGAAAGGTTGTCACAAGATCATTATTGCCAGGTCGTCGCAATGATGAGCAATGATACATGGCAATTATTAGTGATGATAATCTACGTCCTTTTTCAGGGTGTGCAGACTTCACTGCAGCCAATTCATGCTGCTAACGGAATTGTCCATATCCTGCTCATTATGAGCTCATGATGATGCTGTCAGGTCAACTTTCAACTTTCAATCAAATAGAGCGGCTTACGAGAGTGACCGTTTATACATGGTATGCCTTGTATGGAAAGACAGCCCAGTGCATGTGGCGTCACTCTGTACAAACACCAGGAATGATGCTGCAATTGTGGCATTGCCCCGTGAAACAAGCACAGACTGAGCCCACTATGTAGAATATGGCTGGCCGCATACCTTGCAAAGCGATGGGTCCAGCCCGCCCAACAGGCTGCTTGGTCACCGGTGACGTGACACACACTAGTGGGCACCGTTGTGCGTGCGCATGCAGGGGGTAGGTGTAAGCGCGACTGCAGCACCTTGACGGGAGACCCGGACAGTCCAGCTGCCTACGTGCCCAAATAGTTCACCTGCAGAACACACGCAGCGGGCCACGAACACACAGTCATCACAGCAAACAGTACATGTAGTAAGAGATCAGCTGAGTGTAGAGAGCCGTGATCTCTGGCACTGAACCATCATGGCATCAACGGCTCTAAGCATTATCAAATTTGAATCTACACATATTACATTTACATATTTAAATAGTACAAATCTAATGTTGCCTGTGCCTGTGTATGGTGGGTCGCTAAGGGCCTTCCGTAAATACCGATATTTATTCCCGTAGCTATGCAGAAGACGTTACTTCAGTAACGTCTGGCGCTAGCCAGGGTCCACACAGCTTTAAAGGGGAAGTTAAGGCAAAAAATTAAAATTTCACCAGTTGTAGTCTTCGGGGTGCTGAGTCGAATGGTCTTGGTCCGAGAAAGCTGAGACGCTCCCTTCCTACTTGAATCCCAATCGAACTCGCGCACTTCCACCGAAACTGGGTGACTGCGCCCTACTAGATGGGGATTTGTATGCAAAATGTCACTAAAAGCGCCATTTCGTTCTTATAAAAGCACGGATGACCGCGATTGGCCCATATGTTGTAGTCTTTTGGACGCTGAGTCGACTGGTTTTGGTCCGAAAAAGCTGCGATGCAGCGTTCCTCCTTTATTCCCAATCGAACATGGTTGAACAAGTGGTCACGTGCTCCTGGGTGCCCAAATCACCTGGTCACCACGCCAGCAGGCGACAACTTTCACACCAAGGTTCAACTCGAGTTCAACTCGAGTGACAGGACTGCACCCAAAAAAGGTCAAACAGGCTAGTAAGTTGTACCCTGCAGGCACGGTGACCAGGTGACTGGTGTACGCAGGAGCATGTGACCGCTTGTTCAACCATGTTCGATTGGGAATAAAGGAGGAACGCTGCATCGCAGCCTTTTCGGACCAAAACCAGTCGACTCAGCGTCCAAAAGACTACAACATATGGGCCAATCGCGGTCATCTGTGCTTTTATAAGAACGAAATGGCGCTTTTAGTGACATTTTGCATACAAATCCCCATCTAGTAGGGCGCAGTCACCCAGTTTCGGTGGAAGTGCGCGAGTTCGATTGGGATTCAAGTAGGAAGGGAGCGTCTCAGCTTTCTCGGACCAAGACCGTTCAACTCAGCACCCCGAAGACTACAACTGGTGAAATTTTAATTTTTGCCTTAACTTCCCCTTTAATGTGGTGTTTGTGTGTTTGTTTGTTTGTGTCACGCCTGGCGCTATCCCGTATCTGTCCCGTACTGTACCGTATCAGCAAAGACAGCTGGCCACAATATTTTTGTTTGTTTGTGCCATCGACATGCCTGGCGCTATCCCATACCTGTCCCGTACCATCAATCGTACGGTACCATCAAGAGAATGAGTATGTATGCGAAGTGTATGGGGGGAATGCATTCAGTGCAGTAACATTTTGTCTGGATTTGTGTGCGAGGCCGAGATCCCACTAGCAGGCTGGCTGGGCCGCCTGTCGACCAGCCCGGGAATCGCATGTAGGCCGATAGCATAATAATTATAACGTATATACAGTCATGCAGATGTAAAGCAGGGAGTCATAATTAGTATGGGGAGATTTTCTGGAAAGAAATACGAAGTAGGGAGACGAGTAAATGCAATCAGAATGGATGTTAGTTGCCGTCAGTATAATAATAATAAGAAGAAGAAGAACGCCCGTGATCGGCAGAGTCAGCGCCGGTCCCAGGAAACGTCAGGACAGACATCCCGTCGACTCCAGAACGCCCGTGATCGGCAGAGTCAGCGCCGGTCCCATAGCTATGCAGAAGACGTTACTTGTACTTCAGTATCTCATTGAAACGTTTTTGCAATACAATGATGTAGCTAATCAAAGGAAAAAGCATTTCCATCAGTTCTAACAACATGCACGATGAGCTAGGCAACAAAGCATAGCGCAGGGCCCTGAGCTTCCAAGCTCTCTCGTTTATAAACGAAAACTAGTCGTTTCTCTTCAACCCCCTCCCCCCTCCCTGAGAAACGAACACATACAAATGGTACATAGTATCGATATTTTTGGTCTTTTTTCTGGACATGCTCACACATGCAAAATGTACATCGATATTTTTCGAGAAACGAACAGGCGCTCAACCCCCTCCCCCCTAAATGACTAGTTTTCGTTTCTAAATAAATATCTTTATCACATGGCACGTGATTGTTGCCCGTACTCCAGCGAATCAGCACCTTTCGAGCCGCGGGCAATAATATGCGATATTGCCCGCAAAAAAATAGTTTATTTCAGTGATCGCGTGACTACTCTGTAGACTGTACGACTCTACGACGAGTCGCAGTGTAGCATTGAGACGAAGATGGAATTCTTTTTGGAGATGAACATCCCGGCAATGGACATGGCCTCGGACGTCTGCCGCGTGGTGCTTGCAGGGATCATTTGTTCAGTCATGTTGGCAGCCTGACCGTCGGTAAGCTTGTGGATAAGATTCAGTTCTGCTCGAAGTGGTACTGTGATCACAAACAATTATTTGAAATAACACAAATTCAACTCAGCGTCGTGCGTTTTCATATTCTCGCAAAGTCACTGCCTGTGTGTGGTCTTCATGTGCCACGCAAAACTCTTACCAGGCTCATCTGTTCTCTGCCTTCACCTTTGCTTGAACAAACACAACAATTCAGGAATGTTTTGCAATGAAAAATACAGCTATCTGGAGCTGAAAAAAAGAAGAAAAATTGTCCTCAGAATTACACACCAGGGAGTCGTCAAATACTTGCACTTGTTGCAGTACTGTATTTGACAACTTCCTGATACACATGTAAACATGAAGAAACTCTTTGTGGTAGCACTCTTAATTTTTCAACTGAAATTATGATTCTGCTGTATTTTATTGTCGTTGCCATGTCTATTGCTATGACGATGCGGAGCCGGCACTTTTTTTCTGTCTCCGTCTTTCAGTACTGTATACTCTCTGATGGCCTGTAGCAGACTTTTTGTTAGGGTGTAGGAGAAATATCTTCATTTTCCTGTTTTGATAATGATAGCACATCAATATACATTGTGGTCATAATGTGTTGGCATTTGGGCTAATTTCAACAGCAGCCCATTGGTCTGCTCTGTGGGCCATGTGATAAATTTGTTATCGCATGGTTGCAAGGGCCTTATGGCATATTATTGCCCCGAGAGGTTAGCCCGAGGGGCAATAATATGCCATAAGGCCCTTACAACCATGCGATAACATATACATATTTACAGATGGCCCCTAAAGGAGAATTGACAGTGCAAACTTACAATGCTCCGACAACGTACCGTATTTCCTCGATTAATATACCCGGTCTTTTGTTTTTTTTGAAGAGGGTTGGACCCCCGGTCTCTTATTTGGGCATGGTCCATTATTTGAGCACGGTCCACTATATTTTCATCGGCACATCGCTGGAAATGGTGGATTTTTAACACGTCATAATATAGGTCCACTATATTTTCATCGGCACATCGCTGGAAATGGTGGATTTTTAACACGTCATAACATCGCCGATGAAAATATAGTGGACCGTGCTCAAATAATGAAAGAAAGCACTAGCCACTACAAAAATTGTAGTTGCGCAACCTAAAATCGCGTCCTTTTTTGATCCACCACGTGCTTTCTTAGTGCGCATGCGCAAAGCGATGAACTTAAATAAGAGTCTCTTATTCGGGCATGGTCTACTATTTTTCCGTGAGGCCTCTAGGAGGGTCTACTATTTGAGCATGGTCTATTATTCGAGCATGGTCCATTAATCGAGGAAATACGGTATGTGCAAATTGTGGGGCTACAGAGGGGAACAAAATTCAACTACATGTACAGGTCGTCCCCCGTTAATACGAGTCCGGTTAGTACATAAACCCCGTTAGTACATAAGAAATCTCAAGTCCCGGACGAAACTTGATCACTTCCATACAAATTTTGTCGGTTAGTACATAATTCGTTAGTACATAAACCCCGTAAGTACATAACATTTCTCCGTACCCGCATGCCACGTACCTCAATAGTACATAATTTGTTGGTCTTTTGGCCTTCCAGTGGAGGCACATCGTGTTCTAGTTTCTGCTTGTGGAGAAATCAGAGCGCATATGACAAACCGACAAAGATTTTTTTTTTTTTTTTTGAGTGACTGTACAGGCGCGGCTGGGCATGTATCGGGTAAACTGTAGAATCTTCGCCGACTGTGACCGTTATAACATAATAAATATTTGTATGTTATATCGAGGGAATCAAGAATATCTCACTCCCTAGTCACGGTAGCAAGAAACACTCAGAAAAGTTGAAAAAAGTGAAAAACTCTGGTACACAATCAAGTTATGTACACTTTCGTTTAGTACATAAACCCCGTTAATACATAACATTTGTCAAGTCCCAGAGATTATGTATTAACGAGGGACGACCTGTACTTGTAATCAGATTCAGCGCATCTAGAAGTACAGTGTACACGCACTCCTTGGTGCCCTGTATGCATTGCATCGGTCACACATTCATTTGTTGCATGCTGTGTGTGTGTGCGCGACTCAGAATTTGACACAAGCATAAATGACGCCATAATGCATGTGGTGACAGGGATCTCTGCATCTGTACAGTGCCCAGCGCATTGCAGCTCAAGTGCATAGTGTGCCATACATGTAGTTATACAGACATGGTTACTTTGCACGACGGGAAGATTCTGAATAGCGTTTGCCAGTACTCACTCGCACTTTAGTGAAATCCGCATACGAAACTTTCAATATGAGTTCCTTCACGTGTGTTTCTGTAGGCAAACAGACAACATGTTTAATTTGAGGAAAAACACACACACACACACACACACACACACATTGCACAGCGCCATTGATTGCGCTTCTGCTACTGCTACTACGTGCCCTGGTATTCATGGTGTTATGTGCGCAGAAAGCTGCTACTAGCAGACCTACATACCTGAAATTCAAGTGCAGCTATCACGCTCCGCAGGTTAGGCCGTAACTGCCGTAAGGGGATTCGAGGACGGCGCGGGTGCTTGTAACACAGACCATCCGTATTCAACTAACTGTTACTTCAAGACGTAGAACTATTTTCAAGTAGATTGGCTGGAAGTGACGAAACGCCCCTGTTATCGGTGCTATGCTGATCGCTAGAGGCCGCCTGTAACTCGTGCTACTCCTCAAACATGCTTGAGCAATTATCATGGACGCAGGAAGATGCTCCAATACCGGAACACGGTCATTGCCACTAGTTTAGTTAGCCTGCACTCTAGGGGGGCCCTTCACAACAACCAGGAAATGGCAGAGACCCCTTCCTGACTCAAACTACTGCACTCAGCCACGGGCGATTCCTGAAACTTTCATTGATTCCTGAAAACAATGTGCAGTCATGGACAGAGTAGTAACGGACGGACTCTCTTACCTGTAAACTGCAAGCGCTTGCTGTGTCGTTCTGTGGCCTCAACTCGGCTCGCTCGCCGCCATTTGGCTCATTCTGCTCGAGAGCGCGAAAACGCCTCCCATCTGCTTCGCGTCGGTATCGCCTGGGTTATACTTTTGGCCAGGATGATCGCCTTCAAGGGGATTTTCAAAAGTCGAACGGATTACATGATCATACATGACTCAACCAGGCCTTGTTTCAGTATGTAGACCGGCCAGAGCAGCACAGCCAGGTGCTAGGTGGCCTCTTGGGACTGTCGCCACGGCGTTGATAACACGAACTAATCTTGTTGCCGAAAGTCATCAAGAGCAACTGGAAGATCCCCACCAGCTCGGGGAAACTACCTGTTTTCCTTCACGTGACCTGCAAACCACTGACTCGGCAAGTGCAGTGGCAGATAGTGAGATAATGCTAGCTAATGCTGGATGTGTGCTCGAAAAGCATTGACATAAAAATGGGAGGAAATTATACAAATCTTGCGGCAGGCCTCGAATTCTGCTCCTTTTCTATACACATACCCGGGTACCAAACATACAAGAAAAAGCATCAAATTCTGCCGGTTATCATGACAATTATTTCATTATTATTGTTATCTGCCCTGTACATTATCTACCAAGGGAAAGGGCTAGCGTGCTAGTGGGCTAGGGCATTCTGTTACTTCTTTCGAAGTACATGACACTGTACTTTGTAGTCTTGTACTTTGTGTTTTTTATTGTAGCACCTCTGACCTGGCAGTGGGAGTGAGTAGAGACCTCGACTCGATGGCATTGACAACTTAATGAGGATACAGTCGGTTTGAGCAAGTGCTGCCGGTCTTGCTGGCTGATATAATAGTTAATACTGAGATAAAGCATGTACTGAGATAAAGCACTTCTGCAGTGTACATGTACATACAATCATGTGAATGACTGTACACATAACAGAATGCAGGAATGTGTTGGGACGTGCTGAAAGACATGCCGTGGGATTTGGTCTCGTGAGTTGCAATGCCCAAGCTGACATTAAAGGGGAAGTCCGGTGAAAAATTTAAATTTCACAGTCCGTAGAGTTCGGGTCGCTGAGTCGAATGGTCTTTGTCCGAGGAGGCTGCGGCTTATGGTTCGTCAGATACGCCCAATCGAACATGTGCGAATTTGAGCGCGCATCACCCAGATCCAGGTGATGACGTCACAGCGTGCAGCCAGGTAGCCCCACCATCTAGTTGTGTACAAAAATGGCCATATTCGGAGCGCGGTCGATTGGGGAACCGTTTGTCGCAGCTTCTTCGGACCAAGACCATTCGATTCAGTGTTACAAACACTACGTACCCTGTGATTTTCAGCACGGTAACCCTGGAGGTTATACCGTATTATAGCCGTTTCCGAGTTAGACTTTTCCGTCAGCCTATACCGTCTACGCGCTCTGCGCTGCGTGCATGCAGTGCGTGCAGTGTGTTATCTAGCTGTACTGTAGTGCAGTCAACAAACTCATCACAGACGGAACTACTCCCGCACTGCCGTGCTGGGGTAGTATGTACAAGACTCGAGTCACAACTGACAGAAGACTCAGAAAACTAGTCAACACACGGACTTGTCATGTACTACACTATCAGTCGTTCAGTCATGTAGTCAGAGAACGTGCGTTTCTCCTTGCCTGTGCCGGTGGTTGTGCTTTGAGAAAGAAAATTTTAGTTTTCCGCACCCGCCTCATTATTTTATGTTACAGCGATGAGTGCACAACCGTGACAAGTGACAAAACAGCGAACAGCTCCCGGACCTAGAACTTTCAGATTCCATAGCGTTGCGAGCGAAGAGTCGTGCCAGTGGTTCAAAGAGCCTGCACTGTTCTCCAATTGAGTAGTCCGAAATATTCCAAGTTCGCACCAAAACATCACCATGTGGCAGGCTACTGGAGTCTAAGCGAATCTAATCGGTATGGAACAACATTTAGAGCACTCGCATCACTCTTCTCCATTTTGGCGACCCTGCTCTCCAGCGATCTGATCAGCCTCGTCTGCAATAGCTGCTGCTTCTTCATCAGTCGGAAACTCAGTAGCGCTCACTCTTGACCGGCCCGCGTGGCCATTTCTTCAGCTGCCGAGGTTCTCAGCCCCAGACCGAACTCATGAAGGTCAGCCATGGCTGCATCCTCACTCTCACAAGGAGTTACCAGTGGTTACAGGTCTTCGGGGTCGCTTGCACCAAACTATCAGTCGCCAAATCATTTGAAATAGCACTGACACTATTGCTTTCACGCACTCCTTTTGACCTAGCTGCACGCTATGACGTTGCAGAGGGTGTGGCGCGGCCGCATGACGTCATGGCGCAGCCCCCGAAACTCAGTTTTTCAAACGGAAATATCTCGAGAACGCTTTGTCGGAGACACGTGGGACCAACACCATTCGACTCAGCGCCCGAAACTCTACCGACCCTGAAATTTAAATTTTTCACCGGACTTCCCCTTTAATTGGGAAATGAATCCGGGGTTCTTTTGCACTTGAGTCGTTGAGAAGCCTGCGTCCGTGAGAAGCCTGGCTGGGTCTGTAAGAAACATGTGACTGTGGCGCTGGCAATGGCATTGCACTGACACCAGGGAGTCGTATAGACCCGGGAGGCGACACGCGCATCACTTGTGCACAACCATGATCGACTCAACGATTCAAAATATTACGACCTGCTCGGTGTGGGACAAGTCCGTACATAGGTCATAGCGCGCGGGAAATCCATACATAGCGTCGTCTTCGTCCTTTCGCTGAACAATTGTGGTCAGACTTTCGATCTCCATTGCCGAAATACGGCCATCTGTGGCCATCGCTGAGGAGTTCACTAATAAAGGGTCTTGTTCACTGGCTTACTCACTGGCTTTGCACTGCCACTCGAACTCTGAGGCACTTTGACCACCTAAGATGAGGTAATCCTTTCTTTACAAATTGCCTCAATATTTTCTCAACTTTAGGGCAATGAAGTAATTTTTTTCCTCGTGACTAACTTCGACCGACCAAGTTGCCCTGTCCCAGTGATCTACAATACTTATATTGCACATTTGTGAAATATTGGACCTATCCAGATAAACGAAATGACTTATTTTCGAAATTACATTTTCCAAAGTTTTCCTTCACAAATAGTCCCAATTTGTTCTCACCTTTAGGGCAATGAAGTAAATTTTTTCCTCGTGACTAACTTCGACCGACCAAGTTGCCCTGTCCCAGTGATCTACAATACTTATATTGCACATTTGTGAAATATTGGACCTATCCAGATAAACGAAATGACTTATTTTCGAAATTACATTTTCCAAAGTTCTCCTTCACAAATAGTCCCAATTTCTTCTCACCTTTAGGGCAATGAAGTAAATTTTTTCCTCGTGACTAACTTCGACCGACCAAGTTGCCCTGTCCCAGTGATCTACAATACTTATATTGCACATTTGTGAAATATTGGACCTATCCAGATAAACGAAATGACTTTTATTCGAAATTACATTTTCCAAAGTTTTCCTTCACAAATAGTCCCAATTTCTTCTCACCTTTAGGGCAATGAAGTCAATTTTTCTTCAGGACTAACATCGGCTAACAAAGTTGCGCTGTCCCAGTGATCTACAATACTTATAATCATTGCACATGTGAAATATTGGGAGTCACAGAGTGAGGAAATGGCCTAAATTGAAACTTGAACTGTTCTGCCAAGTTTTATGCAGTGAACGCAGGGCTGAGAGCCCGCAAGAGCCATTCCGGAAGATCTTGTGCGCCACCAACCGAACCTTCGGTGAATGTTCACAAGGTTAGAAGCTCGCACAGATAACACACATTGGATGCTAATAGTAATAGTAATACAATGCACTCAGGAATGTGTGCAAATACGACAGAATTAATTCCAAATAAAGTCAACAATAGCTGCCTCAACACAGTGCTATCATTCCCCTATCAACCTTCCGTATTTTCCATATTTGTACGGAAAATCACTACTTCGTCCGCGCTATGGCTTTTGAGAAAAATGTACGGAAAATTGAACGGGATTGATCAGTATGTATAAGCATTGCAAGTGCAAGCTGAGCGATGAAAAGAAGAGAACCGAGTGGAAAGAAAACGCTGCAGTGGAGAGTCCTTAGAAAAGACTTAAAAAATATCAATAATATCGCTGCACGAGATCATCCTTATAAGTTATAACGTCAGCTGATCGTACTGTGGTTGATTCATACGGCGGTAAATACACACCTGCCTACACACGCTCTCTAAGCTGAAAAGTTATTCTGGCACAGAGCTCTCCTTCCCACCACCACCACCATCATCAGTTTGCGTCTGGCGCCTAGTCGATGCAGGGTGAGTGGTGTCCGACATAGCAGGCTGGTACATCAGGTAGCGTATGGCGCATAGCAGATGGCACAGCAACAACATAGCTTGATTGCGACGTACCTTTCGTCCCGGCTGGACTCATCAGGCAATCTTCTTCTTAGATGTCTTCACAAGGAGCTTGACTCGGGAGAATGAAGTTGAAGACTCCACTGCAACTGCACTTATGGTTGGTTCATATGGTGGTAAATACACACCTGGCAATATGGGGGTAAATACACGCCTGCCCAGACACGCTCTCTAAACTGCAAAGTTATTCAGGCACAGAGCTCTCCTTCTCACCACCACCACCACCACCATCAGTTCGCGCCTGGCCTAGTCGGTGCATGGTTAGCGGTATCCGACATAGCAGGCTGGCACATCAGGTAACGCATGGCACATAGAAGATGGCAACGACATAGCTTGATTGCGACGTACATTTCGTTCTCTCGGTTGTGCTGTAGCCTGAAAAAGGAAATAAGACAATGCATCCACATGACACAGACAAGTAATTACTGTTACAAATAATGCATACTGCTTGATAACAGAGAAAGAAAGTCAGTAGTCACACAAGTTTTTGGTCGTCCCTGAAACGAAGATCGTTCCAGGGGGGGGGGGGGGGGGGGGAGCTAAAATCTCAGTCGACTGACGCTATG